TGACAACAGCACAAAGTCCAACGCGATTCTGCGATGCAGGAGGCCGTTCATTATGGCAACCTTCAACGCAAGCACAGTGAGGGAGGATGCGAGGGCCAGGGAGATGGCCCATTGTGCAGTGAAGTGTGGTGTGGAGATTTTGGGTGTGCAGGAACACAGGAGAGTTCACTCGGACCAGCTTGTGTTTGAGAGAGTGGAGGGCAGCTACCTCGTCACGTCGTCGGCATGGAGGAATGCGGCACAGGCAGCTATTGGAGGGGTGGGACTGATGCTTAGTCCTCGAGCTAGAAGGGCTCTTCGGGAAGTTCACAATCATTCTGAGAGGATCCTGATTGCCGAGTTCGACAGCAATCCAGTCACAACCGTCCTCGTTGTTTATTCCCCAACCAATGTGTCACAAGTAGAGGACGTGGAGTTGTTCTACGAGCAGCTCACAGCAGCTGTCAGGGGTGTGCCAGCTCATAACTTCCTGGCCATCTTGGGTGATTTCAATGCTAGACTTGGGCCTGAAGATGCATTGTACACGTATCATGACAGCACCAATAGAAACGGCATGCATATGTCCGAGTTTATGAGTGAGCACCAGCTCTTTGCTGCCAACACCCAATTCCGGAAAAAGCGCGGGAAGAGGTGGACATTCAGAGACCGTGGCACCGGGATTACGAGGCAACTCGACTACATGCTAGTGCGGAGGAAGTGGAGGAACAGCATCTTGAACGCTGAGCCCTTCAGCACGTTCGCTTCTGTGGGCTCTGACCACAGAGTTGTCTCCATGAAGGTGAGACTGAGTCTGAGAGTACCGAAACCAAAGCACAGACTCAGATACGACTGGAGGTTGTTCGCGGCAAGACCAGACCTACAAGAGAAGTACACCGTAGAGGTCCATAACCGCTTTCAGATTCTGGAGGAAACAGAGAACCCAAGTGTTCGGTACGAACGTTTTGTAAGAGCAAATACTGAGGCAATGAAGGGGTGTGTTCCAGAGATAGAGCGAGTCAAGATCAGTGCTCGATCGAAGCAACCTGATGTAATGATAGCAAGAGGGAAAGTGGAATCGGCCCACCGGGAGTTTAGTCAAAACCAGACTTTGGAGAACCGTGACCTGGTGAAAAAGGCAAAGGAGCTGCTGTTTAGCACATATGACAGGCTCAGGAGCGAGGAGTTGACAAAGAAAGTCAGGCGCATTGAGACAGCTCATGGTGAGCGCAGGTACAATGAATCCTGGAAGGTTATCAATGAGATGACAGGGCGCAAGAAGGCGAAGGAGGGTCAGGTGGTGGGTGCCAGTGCAGAGGAGAGAGTTGATACGTGGCTCACCCACTTCAGCAGCCTGCTAGGTAGAGCACCAGATATTGAAGATGCTGATGAGGACATCCCAGACGTCCTCACTGACCTAGACATCAACGATGGTCCATTCACTGCCGCTGAACTGGCCAAGGCCAAGTCGACACTGCAACAAGGGAAGAGTGCAGGTCCAGATGGCATACCTCCAGAAGTCTTCAAGTATTGTGAGATTGACATCATCATTCTGGAAATCTGCAACCTTGCCCTGATTAACAACGACGTCCCCAGTCAATGGTCGCTGTCGAACATCATACCCGTGCCAAAATCTGGTGATCTTAGTAAAACCGACAACTACCGTGGCATTAGCCTCACATGTATCATTGCAAAGATGTTCAACCGAATGATACTAAATCGGCTACGCAGTGCGATCGACCCTCACCTGAAAGATAACCAGAACGGGTTCAGAGAGAGGAGATCAACAACAGCGCAGATCCTGGCTCTGAGGCGAATAATCGAGGAGGTGAAGATCAATAACCTGACAGCAACCCTGACATTCATTGACTTCACAAAAGCGTTTGATTCCATCCACAGAGGGAAGATGGTGAAAATTCTTAAGGCATACGGAGTTCCAACGAATCTGCTTCGAGCCATCCAGTCAATGTACTCAGGAACCCGAGCCAAAGTGGTCACTCCCGATGGAAACACAGACGAGTTCAACATCTTGGCAGGAGTCATGCAGGGCGATACCCTCGCCCCATTCATATTCATCGTTATTCTTGACTTTGCCCTCAGACGAGCTATAAGCGGACACGAGGTAGATCTTGGATTCACACTGATACCAAGGAGATCGAGCCGCTATCCCGCAGTCGCCCTGACTGACCTCGACTTTGCGGATGACATCAGCCTCCTCTCTAACTACACTTCTCAGGCACAGGAGCTTCTGACACGTGTGGAGATGGAATGTAGCCGGGTGGGTCTCTCACTCAATGCCAGAAAGACAAAGGTGGTCACTTACAACGTCCCAGACATGCATCCCTTACTACCCTAGAGGGCCGCCCTCTCAAGGAAGTCAGCGACTTCAAGTATCTAGGATCATGGATCGACTCCTCTGAGCACGACATCCGCATTGGAAAGCCCTTGCCTGGAAGGCTCTACATGGGATGAAAACCATATGGAGCTCTAACATGTCAAGGGATGTCAAGATCAGTTTCTTCCAGGCCACGGTGGAGTCCATCATGCTATATGGATGTGAGTGCTGGACCTTAACAACGACCCTTCAGAAGTCCCTCGACGGTTGTTACACCAGAATGTTGGGGACGGTGCTCAACATCGACTGGAGAAACCACGTGTCTAATAACACCCTTTACGGCATGCTACCTAGGATCTCACAGAAGATCGCATACAGGCGGATGGGCATGGCAGGGCACTGCTGCAGACACCCTGAGCTACCAGCAAGCCGTCTGGTGCTGTGGGAACCGACTCATGGGGTGAAGCGGAGGGGAAGACAGATGACGAGCTATGTCGGGGTTCTGAGGAGAGATGCCGGGACTGAGACCACAACAGAGTTGGCTGCTTGTATAAAGGATAGAGAGGATTGGAAACGCCGCAGGGGATCCCGCCTGCGGGCGACATGATGATGTATCCTGATGAGAGCTAATTAGCGTGCGAAGCTTAAACAGCGTGGGGTTAAAATGATTCTAGAGGTTCTCAATGTGACGTAATTTCTGACTACTTGCAAGGTTTTAGCAAAATATCATCATTTATACATCATTAATGAGTTGGGAGCCATTGAATCGGCTATTCTGAGCTACAGAATCAAATACAGGGCGAGTCAAAAAAAAGCGAAACCCAAATGTCGGGACTATTGTTTTTAGTGAATTTCTGCATGTAGCACTTTCAAAATCTAGGATATGAAGTCCCAATCCAAAAGCTTTCTTTTAGCACAAAAATCATTCAAATCACTTATGTACTTTTGAAGTTACGGAATTTTAAGCACAACCACCGTTTTGAAGTTCTGTCGACCAATCACAAGAAGGTAAGTGTTCATTCAGCAAAACGAAACCAAATCACACATTTTTTTGTGATCCATGGACAGAACTTTAAAACGGTGGTTGTGTTTGTAATTCCGTAACTTAAAAACTACATAAGCGATCTGAATGATTCTTGTACTAAAAGAAAGCTTATGAATTGGTCTTTCATATTCTGAATTTTGAATGTGTTACATGCAGAACTTCACTAAAACAATGATTCCGACATTTGAGTTTCGGTTTTTTTTGTACTCACCCTGTAGACTACAATTATTTAATCAGGGAAGAAAATAATTGGGGGAACAACATGTCCCCCCGCTCTCACCGATCGACGCTCTTAGTTCGCAGTTAGCACCTGCTTTAGAACGATTAATTGTATACGTAGGGCCTGCATGTAATACAGCGTCAGTTGGTGAAATTGAAAACTCAGAGAGAGACCCTCTGCGCGTGGGTGTGGTGTGGGTAGGCCTATATGTGTTTTATGGCACACTGCGGTATTATTGTAGGCCCCCAATTTTTCGTAAGCCCCCAACATTTTCGTTGGCCTTAGGTACAGTGCCTACTGTGCCTACTGGGTAATCCGGGCCTGACTTAATGTCGCTCGCTGCAGCACTATGGGGTCACTGGTTGTGGGTCATCCTCGCAATGGGCCAGAGTAAGGTTTTGGGGAAAAGTTAGACTTGAGGACCAGTCACTAGAGACAGTCGTGTTTCGTCTGTCGGCGCCCCTATCTATATATACTTGCACAGCGAAGTGTATCATGAGGGGACCATTAGAAGCGGTACGCGCACGGCATTCGTATGTGGCCTGAAAAATAATCACCATTTTACCTTTAAAAATGCTAAAATATGATGCCGTAGACGAACGTTTATAAATGTGTTTGTGTACAACATTATGTAAGTATAAAAGTATATGAGTGATTTGAATGATTCTTTTTTGAATGAAATCAAAAGCTTGACTGAAGAAGATATTTTTGCGTCTGGAAGAGGGCGAAATTGAAGATGAAAAAGAAAGTTTCTTTTTAATGGGGCTTTCACATCTAGATCAGAAAAGTGCTACGAATTACGTTAAGGGAATGCTTGAATGGTGAATGTCATAGCTGGAGGAGAGAGGGTAAAAAGTTTGGGGCGTCAAAATGATAAAAGCGGAGAAAAAACGGGATTATTCCCACAATGACAACACAAGTACTACACGGATCAGGAAAGGAAAAAATCGGAATCCAGTTAAAATTGTAGTCTATGGAATATGATATGCCAGCAGATTTGGCGACTAATTATGCAAAACAAGATTGCGTCTTGACCTCGAGATCCTGACCATTCAGCGGACGTCTTCTATATCGTATCTTCTGTAACCCGTTGTTGTATTATACAAACATGGCATCCAATTTGGGCAATAACCAGCATAATTCTACTTTCTGATGGAAACGACGTCACAGTTTCTAAAGTGAACTCCAATTGGATGGCGGGCAGGGTCTTATAAAATTTGCCTGTTATGAGATATCAGACGTGCGACAGTTTCTATGCACACGTGAATATCTGATACTCGGACTATAAAAAAAGGATTTGACAACAAAATATAAATATGGATAAAAGGATACAAAAGAACACTTGTATAGATGAACAAAAAAAGTAGATTTTGAAAAGAGGAAGGAACAATTTCACAATCAGGCGGACAAACACTGCTACCTACTTAGTTTGGATTTGCAAACTACTCCGGCAACGTTTGAGCTTTCACACTGCTGGTACTTGGTGCTGACAAACGGGCAGTCGGCCAGTCGGCTCTCCGTCCCCTCACAAGCGACTCGGCTCATCATGATCGGCAGGTCACCTCTCCCGTATTCTGAGGCTGTGTTGGCCTGGATTGCTGCACCGAGGTCCAGCTGACGGCACACCGTGTTGGCGTCGTTTATCCCCCAGTCTTTACCGCACACCGCTCCCCAGGATGCTGTATCGTGCTGGTAGATTTCCACACGGCCACTCCAAGCGTCAGTGCCATTCACCAACCTTACATTACCATCTGGGACTTTAAAGAATTCATTTTGAATCTATCAGAACGCCTGCAATTTTGAAAAATTAAATCTGGTGGAACTATCAGTTTCACTCATCATTTTATTTGAATTTTAACGTGGGTGTGTACGTGACTAAAATACCAAATTCCTTCATCGACATTTCGTTTTGTTTGTTATGATCCGAAAAGTTTAGTGATTTAGCACATTCTGCAGATGGAACAAGTATTTATTTCGCAACGCTCAATTAATTTTGACAAATGTCCTCTGTATAGGCTGTAACATATCATGTCTGAACGGAAATGTTGTTATGCCAATGCCTTATGTCAGTTTTCCTACGGATGAAGAGCTTTTGTTAACTACCTTGCACTTGGCACCCGAATACCTCGAACCTCACTCTGTAGTATTGATTAGTCCAGGCCAGGGGTAGTATGCGAATAAACCTTGCTGTGGGTACCACAGGAAAAGTGACATTCGTTGGCCGACCACTGGTTAAGTTGAACTAAAATGAAGCAAAAGCAGGATTAGAGTGGTAATGATAACAATTCAGTTTTTATTTGCAACATTCCGATACCTGCCCGTACAGTTCTTTATGCAACTACAAAACATGTCTTCCTTATCAGCGGATACCGCGTGGAAAACAAATTGAGAGTTAAAACCTTTGGTTGGCTACTGTTAGTTTCAATGTGTACTTTATTGAAGGGAATGTCTTTTCATTTTCAGCAGTCTGAAGCCCCATTATGAAATAACGGAAAATGAAAATAACAATAATGAATAAAAACAATCAGGCAATCTGGCTATGTCTTATTTGAAAAGCTGTTAAAAACCCCCGGAATACCACATTTTTAACGATAAAACGGCGTATAACAACCAATAGAATCCCAGAAGATGCGAGAATGTTGCCTAACATCATATTAGGTATTTATACAGATAGTATACATCAACTCATGATAAACTCATTGCAATAAAATAAACTAGAGACTATACGCACTTGACATCATTGCATTTAGCCATCTATACGGGTGCAACACTAAATAGGAGATTAAAAACACGCCCTAATACAGGTTTTTTTGGCAACATTACCAGTTCCATTAAAAAAGACACATCCTAATAGGAATATGCCTTTATGTCGATCCCCAAAATCGTTGGACCGTATTGTGTTTACGTAGAAATTCTGCTTCAGATTCCAGCGATGGATATCTGTTTCACAGTCATTATTAATTTAGTATCTTAATTTGTAGTAGTTTCTGAGTATTCGCCTCACGTGCAGATTATTCTATTTTCATCCATATAAGCGCTTTCGTCTTTTCACTCGTCATTTCTGTCATGCATTGGCATGAGAGAACAAATCAAAGGATGAAAATAATGACTCTTTTCAAACTAAAGACAAAGGGTTGGAAGTTTTGTCACAAATCCCGCAATCATAAGACGCTCCAAAGACATTCTTTTCAGAACATTTCGTTCGCCTTGTCACTGATGAAATGGAATGACCTAAATAGGTTGAGAGATTTTAAAGTAACCAGAGAGAGAGAGCGAAAATTTCATTTTTCAATATAAAGCAAATCTCCATTTTCCAAATGAGAGTGACTTAAAACGCTGCATCCGTTCCAATTTATACAGTTCAAAGTTACTGTAGTGTTATTGTGAAGCCGGATTGAACTCAAAAAAGTACGAATTGAATACCAAAATGATTTGTCTCCAGAGCGTTTTATTCCCGGTTCTCGACCATGCCGCTATCCCATAATGTCCCCTAGAGGTCAATCTAATTTGCATAGGTCTCATTTGCATAGCACTGTAAACATTGCATGTAATGCATATACATGTATTATCGGGACACTACATCTCCCCCTTTCTTTAGATTTAAACAAACATTGTTAAATCATGTGACACAAAAAGATTTGAATAAGCCAAGGTGAACATTCAAGATATCCGGGGTGCGACAATATCAGAAGTCAAACTACGTGTATTTCTTGAAGAACACTCAGTTGACAAAATTATCCTTTAACATCAACAATGTAACTTTTCCTAAGTGATTAATACAATCAGCACGCAGAGAAATTCTGATCACTTGCAATTTTAGTATGGAATGTGACCGCCAGATTGGCCTTGAGTTAAACAACCTATTTACTACCATTCTAAGAGAAAATTCACTTATTTTGTTCTAAATGGAAGTTTTGTGCTCCAAGGATCCTAGAATGTATTGAACATGTCATTTTGCAGTTTACTTTAATCACTTTAGTTTAAATTTTAATAAACACTTTCGTAACATGCTTTAAGTAAACAATCCATGCTTCCAACTGGATTTTAGCTTTTTGCAACACAACTTAATTTTTTGTTTTTTGTTTAACATTTCAAAACTTGATGATGCATCTGAACATTGAAAACTACATGTTTACTTATACACAATGAAGTCATCCAACCATTTGGGAGGTCCCTTATTTTCCCTCACAGGTCTGGCAGTTTGAGAGCCAATTTGTGTTTCAACAGGGCCCAGATTTTCTCCCTCTTCCCCTTTTGTGTTTTGGGATGAGTCACATGATGACCCTGTGTGTTCTGGAACATTTTCATGTTCTGGATTGCTGTCATGTTCTAGTGTATTGTACTTCTTAACATGTGTGCTGTTTCTTTTGTATCTTACACCTGCTGGGGATTGTACTGTTACACTATTCCCTTCTTTCTGGACCAGTGTATAAGGAGTTGTCTTAAATGGAGTGGTCAGTTTATCCTGACGCGCTTGTTTCAACAGAACTGAATCCCCTGGCTGGAGATCCCTATCCGCTGCTCCTCTCTTGTCGTCTATGTACAACTTGTTTTTGTATTTCTGTGTAGCATCTCTGTCTCGTACTTCTTCGTCAAGACCTCGACTGTCGACCTCCAACTGTGGAAGTTTTGTCCTTAGTTTTCGTCCAAACATCAGTTCTGCTGGCGAAACCCCTGTGGTTGCATGAGGCGTTGTTCTATACGCAAACAGGTAAGTACGGATTTCTGTCTTCCAGTCGCGAGACTCAGCCGTAGCAATTCGAATGCGTTTCATCAGTGATCTGTTCTGCCTCTCGACCTCACCATTTGCTGCCGGATGGAGGGGTGTTACAGCTCTGTGTCTAATATCATTACCCTCCAAGTACTTCTCAAAAATCTCAGACCGAAACTGTGGTCCATTATCTGATGTGATGGATCTCGGAAGGCCATAACGACTGAACATGTTCTCTAAGGCCTCGATGATACGTTCACTTGAAGTATCTTTCATGATTTCCACCTCATAGAAACGACTATAGTAGTCAACTACCACGAAAACATAATGCTTCGACGGCAGTGGTCCCATCAGATCAATGGCCAAATCTTGCCATGCTGCAGTTGGCATCGGTGTAGGCTTCAGTGGTTCTGGGTTTGGCATCGCTCCAGTAACTTGACACCCATGACATGATCTGACATACTTCTCAACATCTTTTTCCATCTGAGGCCACCATACTTTGGTTCTGAGTGTCTGCTTTGTACCAACTACTCCCAGATGTCCCTGATGAGCCAATTCTACACATTTCATTCTCAACTTCTTTGGAATGACAATTCTGGTTCCCCTAACAACTAGGTACCCAATGCAGCTCAGCTCATTTCTCACTGCACAAAAGTTCACACTGGATTTATTCCACTGGTCATCCTTGAGACACTTTCGCACAGCAACAAGCTCCTCATCAATCTTCGATTCTTCTTCGACTTCTCTCGTCGATATTGCTCGGGGCGTTGCTTCCCTGGCAACAAAACGAATATATTCTTCTGCCTGCATCTGTAATCTGCTAGGTTTGTCTGCAGTGCTTGTGTCCACCAGCCTAGACAACACATCAGCGATGTTCTCTCTACCGGGTCGATACTGAATCTTAAACGTGTACGACATTAACTTCAAAAGCCATCTCTCTATCCTCGCGTTGGGTCGTGACTTCGGACCATACAACACTTCCAGTGGTTTGTGGTCTGTTACAAGCTCAAACTCTATACCGTACAAATATACATGGAATTTCTCGCACGCCCATACAACTGCTAATGCCTCCTTTTCTGTTGTCGAATACCTCGTCTCCACATCAGTCAGCATACGACTAGCATAGCTAATAACTCGTGTTTGACCCTCGTATTCTTGCAGTAAGACCGCACCTAGTCCCACATTACTTGCATCTGTCACCAACTGCGTCTTTGTAGCATCCAGTCTAAAATACCCCAGAGTGTCAGCATCGGTTAGACACTGTTTCAGTTTCTCAAAACTCTGCTGCTGTTCTGGACCCCATACAAACTGCTCATTCTTTCTCACCAGCTTACGTAGCGGTTCTGTGAGCGTAGCCAGGTTTGGGATGTACCTCGCAGAGAAGTTTACCAACCCAAGAAAGCTCTTCACCTCTGCTGCATTTGTCGGTTGTTTGGCATTCTTCATGGCCTTGATGCGTCCCTCTGTTGGCTCTATTCCACGACGTGACAAGACATGCCCCATGAATGTGATCCTCTCCATTGCAAATTCACATTTATCTGGATTCAGAGTAAGTCCTGCCCCCTTCAGGTGCTCCAGGACCCGTCTCAGTCTCTGGTCATGTTCTTGCTTGTCCCTACCATACACTACGATGTCATCTGAAATATTCTGAACACCGTCACAGTCATGGAAAACTTGTGCAATCACCTGCTGATATTTCTCAGGTGCAGCACTGATCCCAAACATTAACCGTTTGTATCTGTACAGCCCTTTGTGTGTCACAAATGTTGTGATGTCACGTGACTCATCATCCAATTCAATTTGATGATAGCCATATTTCAAATCCAACTTACTAAACACTTCTGCCCCATTCATGTTATACAATATTTCATCGACAGTGGGGATTGGATGTCGCTCCCTGATGATTGCATTGTTTGCTTGTCTCATGTCTACACACAACCTAATGTCCCCATTTGGCTTTGGCACCACAATGACAGGACTGACCCATGATGTTGGGTTTTGCACTTTCTCAATAATGTCTAGAGACTCTAGCTCATCTAGTTTATCACTAACCTTTTGTCTCATACTATACGGTACTCTATACATTCTCTGAGCTACTGGTTGCACATCTTTGTTTATGTGTAAACTCAACTGATAACCTTTCAGTTTCCCAATGCCTTCAAAACACTGTTTGTACTCTGTACGCACATCATCAACATAATTGACTCCAATGCTCAATATGTTCAGTTGTTCTGCTGTTTCTCTCCCCAACAATGCTGGCCCTGCACCCTTAAGTACATAAAAATCAGCGTAAACTTCACAACTTTTAGTACCCTCTGCCTGCACGGCAACTACTGTACTGAATTTACCCAACAGATCTAGTGGTTTGTCAGCCCCGTATGCATACAACTTCTTTGTGGTTATCTCAGATTTACATGTAATCTTTTGTTTCTTCAAACTTTCCCACAACTTTGCATCAATGAGATTCACTGTGGCCCCACTATCAACAATAACATCTACTGGTAATTTCTGCTTACCCAAACACACTTGCAATTTGTCTGTGGAACAAGAATTCACTCGATTAACATCAACACTTCCTACATGAAATGCATAAGAGTCTGAGTCCGAGTCAGTTTCATTGTCCACCGTGTTTACTTTTCCTGAACCGTTTGATTTTCCATGTCCTGGTTTTCTTGGTTTCGCGTATCCCGTTTTCCCTTGTCCACTTGCATGACTTGACTTGCCTTGCACTCTGCCATGTCGGCCGTCATGACTTTTGCCAGTTTCTCTTTTAGTCTTGCAGCAAGACGCAAAATGTCCGGCAAGTCCACATTTGTTGCACTGTTGCTTCTTTGCTGGGCAGCTGCCATCCCTTGCAAAATGTCCGGATCTTCCGCACCGAAAACACTTCCCGTGTTGTTGTGTGCGTGTTCCCGTTGTACGAGTTCCATGTTGCACAGCGTTCACGTTGGCGCTAGCTCCGTGGGTGTTACTCCCGCATTGTGGCCCGTGTGCTCCGGCGTCCATCTGTTTCGTTTGTTTATCCGTTAGTTCGACTGTCACCGCGATTGTCCTCAGGTCATCCAGCTTTAGATCATGTCCTTTGATCAACAGTTTGGCACGGATCTTGTGTGATCTGCATTTTTCAATCACTTGGTCACGAATTTCCTCGTCTGCATTCTGGAAATTGCAGCGAACAGCTCGTTGCCGCAGCCGCACGATGAACTGCTCTATCGACTCGCCGTCCTCCTGCGCCATGCTCCTGAAGCAATACCGCTCATACGGCACGTTGATTTTCGGCTGAAAATGTTTGCTCAGGGTTTTCTTTGATTTCTCGTAGGCGTCTGACCCCTCTTCTTCCTCCAAGGAAAAGAAGATATCCTGCACTTCTGTCCCGGCACAGTGTAGCAACAACGCTCGTTTCTGCTCGGCATTTTTCACCCCTCGTCCGACTGCATACAGCTCGAAGCTACGCAGCCATCGCTGCCACGCGATTCCCACATTGCTTGGGTCGCCGTGCGGGTTGAACCATTTGACTTGACTCACGTCACTGCTGCTGAGTTCCATGACTTTTCCACACGAATTAAATCGGAAAATCTCAGTCAAATGCGTCCAAAAGATTCTTCACGATTATCCTGAATTGTCCAGTATCCTCGTCGCCAATTGTAGTGTTATTGTGAAGCCGGATTGAACTCAAAAAAGTACGAATTGAATACCAAAATGATTTGTCTCCAGAGCGTTTTATTCCCGGTTCTCGACCATGCCGCTATCCCATAATGTCCCCTAGAGGTCAATCTAATTTGCATAGGTCTCATTTGCATAGCACTGTAAACATTGCATGTAATGCATATACATGTATTATCGGGACACTACAGTTACTACTTTGTAAACATTTTGAGGCCAACGATAAGGAAAACGATTAATAAAGATGACTGAATGTTTGGAAAGCGCCCTCTGTAACTCACTCTGATTGCTCCACCGTCAGCATTGGTTAAACTCTGCCAGTCATCTAACTCAGCTGTGAGGCTGTGCTGGACTGAAAACGCCCTGACATGACAACAGGTCACGCTGAGGTGTCCTTGCATGGTGAGCCCGGTAACCGTCGTGGGTTTACCCAGGTCAACCTGAATCCACTGATCTGCTGGAGTGCTTGGTACCCATCCTTGGGTTCCTGTGGGATGATATAATGGTTTTATTATTAGCGTTGGGAATGTTCCAATACGCAAATTAAAAAATAATGCCTACAATCAGAAGATGTACAATCAGCTACGATTTATCAAATTTACTCCAATAATACAGTCACTAGAAAGGTATGGCTGAAAAGGTGAATGTTATTCCGACGAACAGTTTCTATTCCTACTTTTGATTCTAAATATTTACTTTGTTGTTTACCAATGGAATTACAAATAATGTTAAACAAGGCATATGACAAAGTTTATGAAGCGAGTTTCATCAGTTTTGGGAAAGAGGGTAAGATTTTATTCGCCATACGAAAAAAATAAATACTCATTTTCACAATCTGCCACTTTCGACTTGGCGTCCTCCAATGTCAATACAGCACTGGAGGTGGTGGTGGAAGGGGCGTGCTGCGGCAGAAAGCTTCTAGAAATGCAAGATCACCCTTGATGTCACTGCACTCCTCCTCAATCGTTTGGAACAACAAACGACCGAGGAGGCGTGCAATGACATTAGGGATGATTCTGCATTCCTTCAGAAGCTTTCGGCCGCTGCACGCACCTTCCGCCACCGTTTCCTCCACTGTATCGACATTCCCAAAGTAAGTAGTTTTTCGTACGGCATTTAAATATTATCCTCTTGCACAAAACTGATATAACACTCAATATCATTGTTCATGCCCTCTTTACATGATCTGAAATGTTGGTTTAATTCCATTGGTAAACAACAGGGTTATTTGGGATCAAATGAAGGACTTTTTTTAAAAAGAAGTACATTGTAATTTCCAAAATATCACGTTATAAATCTGCATTTCTGACCAATCACCGTTTGGGTGGTTTATATATAGAGCCTTGTCATACCGTTTGACCTAAACCTTTCATTAGTCATCAACATGAATTTGTATAGTTCCGCGATATTTTTCTCTCAAATGGCTTTTACTGCGAGACGCCGCACTTCTAGTGTAAATTGGGCCTCATATTGAAATTCTCACAAAACAATGAACTAAAGAACTATCCGGCAAATCCACTGAACGACAACTTTGGCCCATTAATTGTATGGCTTTGGTAATTACCGAGTTCTATGGTCACCATTCGGTGCCTACAGAATGACTTCATTCATGTGTATGTGTAATAACGAACTGTGCATCAATAATGTAAGCAAATAGTCCAAAAGAAGCCATATAAAACCATACTTTTCTTAACAACTCATGTTTGCGATTATGTCTTGGCAAAAATGTTTTGGTAGAGTCTTTGTTGTTGTTAAGCAGCGCCATGAAATTGGGCCCTAATGACACAGCACTACTAAGTTACGCAAGGAAGCATAAGCAGAAAAACAAATGACTTCATTTATCATTATATTCATGAGGCAACTAGGCACAACATAAATATGGAAATATCACCGTTAAAAGTTTACCATAACATAAATGCCCATTACTTATATAGGATCGTTGATTTTTTATAGAAAGGATGCGATACCTACCTACATTAAGTCGAGCGGTGCTTGGGAGATAGCTACTACTATGGACGGACGATGCCGTTATGCTGTTGTCCGGGATGTTTCTATTTTCCATCCCCAACGCCCTTGGAGTGCACCGTGCTAGTGAAATGATAAAGAATAATTCACAAATTCAACAGGTTATAGTGAGGTACCTTAGTGACAAAAATGCCAAGGATCGGTACACGGTGGACAAAAGCACAATTTTTTCACCAAAGCACAATTTTTTCACCAAAGCATCTCCATGGTATACCTTTTCGAAAAAAAAGACGGACGCAAAAAATTGGATGATGGGAAGGGCAATATATGACGTCATTATGACTTATCAGCTAATTATTACATGAAATAAATATAAATTGATAATATCTTCAGAACTACCAACATCACAACAACAAATGTGGCATCAAATGAAAGGGAACAACAAGATCTTTCATTTGAGTGGTATGTCAGTGGGATGGAATGTAGTAAAGGGTGGTTTTGGGGGCAAAAAAAAAACACTTTTTGGGTCAAAAAACCTCATTTACATGAGAGAATAAAAGTGTCCCCTCGAGCTAAAAAAATGGCCTCAAAGTATCTTACTATTTCTTAGAAGTAACCATTTCCCAATAGATGATTTTGATATAAACGACGAATATGAAAACCAAGCCCCAAAATGAATACAATACGCTCTGAAAATGGGCACATAATGCATAGTTCACAGGTTCCAGCCCCCCCCCTCCCCCATTTGATTTTACGGAGGCCAATGTCCGGTGAAAAACACGTGTCGACCTTTCAGCTCGGATGTGCAAAAAAAGCAATGCTGAGCAAGTGCCCCTTTTCGGTGATGCCCCCCCCCCCCTAGTTTCAAACCCGTTCCGCTGCCGCTGCCTGAAGGACCGGCTCCCAACGCAGTTTAATACCTTCGACGACTTAGACGCCTCAAGCCAGATACTCTGTCCCACATAAATCCGCCACGTAGGTACAGCTTTCATGTCAAACCAAAACCGCAGGCCGAGCTGAAAAAGATGGAGAAAGGCTGGGTCATACGAAAAGTCTCCCATCACACGGACGGGTGCAGCTCAATCACAGCAACTGCCAAAAAAGACGGCCCATTCAGGGTGTGTCCGGATCCCAAGCAGCTAAACACATAATGTTTTCTACAGATCCCCACTCTTGAGTAGCTCAAGCCAGACTTTGCGCTGGAAAGGTTCTTCTCCAAGCTAGACGTCAAAAGCAGGGTATTGGTCTGCTCATCTAGAGCAGTCTGAAGAGCTGACAACATACAATTTGGTTGTAACAGCTTTCGTCGCCCACTCATCGGCTTACCAGTAAGCCAAGACAATAGTTCCAAAAATATTGATGGCGAAATAAGCTAGATGCCTTGATGCGTTGGAACAATCACCGCAACGACATTGCAGTATTCGGTGTCCCTTGGAGAGCATGACGAGCACCGAACGCCTCATCGCCCTGATGGAAACCGCTGGTTCCTTTAAAGTCAACATTGTCTCACACTACACCCTACATTGCGTAGACAAAGTTGCTCCCTTCTGTGATCTTCTTCGAAAAGATGTACCATTTCTCTGGCAAGAGGACCATCAAACTTCTTTTATAACCCTGAAACACTCCATCTCAACTCAGTCCTGGCTACGATTCTCCGACCCACTGGTATAAAAAAACCTTCCTCAAAGTAGATACATCTGAAAGAGGATTGGGCATCAGCCATGAAGGTAAACCGATCGCATTTTCCTTAAAGAGCCTATAGACCCTCTGCCAAGAGCATATTCTCGAATATCGAGAGGAAGCTGTGTCACTGCTGCAACTTCATTCGGCTGCAACTTCATTGTCGTCACTGACCATTAAAACCATTGGTTACGATCTGGCGCAAAATCCTAGCCAGTGCACCACCCCGCTTGCAGCGTTTTATTAAGCTACAAGGATGCGACTTCGACGATGTCTACAAACCTGGTGCTATGATGGTGATCGCAGATACACTCGGCAGACTGCCCAACCCCTTCAAGCTCCACATCGTAACACGTGATTAACCTATAACTGAAATACACTCGGATGGGCACCCGACTGTAACTTATATTACGTTTTTTTGTCCGCCTATCTTTGGAATAAGTTTCAACATTTAAGATACCGATAATCAATTACGAAAACTCTCTTGGCATAGTATTTGAACCATTCTCTCTGACCTAAGAACAAAAACTCACAATACCACTCACGGTTTGCATGTTAAAACAAGGTGCCAAAATGATTACCCCAATCCATGATTTTAGCACCATTTTCTTTTACCAAAATAGGGCTTTTTGGCCAAAAAACACCCTGTACTACATTCCATCCCACTGACATACCACTCAAATGAAAAATCTTGTTGTTCCCTTTCATTTGATGCCACATTTGTTGTTGTGATGTTTGTAGTTCTAAAGATATTATCAATTCATATTTATTTCATGTAATAATTAGCTGATGACGTCATAATGACGTCATATATTGCCCTTCCCATCATTCAATTTTTTGCGTCCGTCTTTTTTTTCTCGAAAAGGTATACCATGGAGATGCTTTGGTGAACAAATGGTGCTTTTGTCCACCGTGTCAGATTTTTTCAGTAAAGGTACCTCACTATAAAATGAAGACTTAATGCAGGCCCGGATTAAGTGTTTTGTAAGCCCAGCACCAGTGTTCCGTAGGCCCTATTCCGCCCAAGCCACCGACCCCTATTCAGCGTACAAAGCACTGTACAAATCAAGCCATGCCAAACTGATATAGGTCCTAGCTGTAAAAGCCTGCTCGCACCAAGGGCATCAAACTCACAAGTGGGGAGGGGGATGTTCATGCAAACATGTGTATCCTGATGAGAACTAATTAGCGTGCGAAGCTTAAACAGCGTGGGGTTAAAATGATTCTAGAGGTTCTCAATGTGACGTAATTTCTGACTACTTGCAAGGTTTTAGCAAAATATCATCATTTAAACATCATTAATGAGTTGGGAGCCATTGAATCGGCTATTCTGAGCTACAGAATCAAGTACAGGGCGAGTAAAAAAAAAGCGAAACCCAAATGTTGGGACTATTGTTTTTAGTGAATTTCTGCATGTAGCACTTTCAAAATCTAGGATATGAAGTCCCAATCCAAAAGCTTTCTTTTAGCACAAAAATCATTCAAATCACTTATGTACTTTTGAAGTTACGGAATTTTAAGCACAACCACCGTTTTGAAGTTCTGTCGACCAATCACAAGAAGGTAAGTGTTCATTCAGCAAAACGAAACCAAATCACACATTTTTTTGTGATCCATGGACAGAACTTTAAAACGGTGGTTGTGTTTATAATTCCGTAACTTAAAAACTACATAAGCGATCTGAATGATTCTTGTACTAAAAGAAAGCTTATGAATTGGTCTTTCATATTCTGAATTTTGAAGGTGTTACATGCAGAACTTCACTAAAACAATATTCCGACATTTGAGTTTCGGTTTTTTTGACTCACCCTGTAGACTACAATTATTTAATCAGGGAAGAAAATAATTGGGGGAACAACATGTCCCCCCGCTCTGACCGATCGACGCCCTTAGTTCGCAGTTAGCACCTGCTTTAGAACGATTAATTGTATACGTAGGGCCTGCATGTAATACAGCGTCAGTTGGTGAAATCGAAAACTTGGAGAGAGACCCTCTGCTCGTGGGTGTGGTGTGGGTAGGCCTATATGTGTTTTATGGCACACTGCGGTATTATTGTAGGCCCCCAATTTTTCGTAAGCCCCCAACATTTTTGTTGGCCTGAGGCACAGTGCCTACTGTGCCTACTGGGTAATCCGGGCCTGACTTAATGTCGCTCGCTGCAGCACTGTGGGGTCACTGGTTGTGGGTCATCCTCGCAATGGGCAGAGTAAGGTTTTGGGAAAATGTTAGACTTGAGGACCATTCACTATAGACAGTAGTATTTCGTCTGTCGGCGCCCCTATCTATATAATTTTATACTTGCACAGCGAAGTGTATCATTGGGGACCATTTGAAGCGGTACGCGCACGGCATTCGTATGTGGCCTGGAAAATAATCACCATTTTACCTTTAAAAATGCTAAAATATGATGCCGTGGACGAACGTTTATAAATCTGTTTGTGTACAACATTATGTAAGTAAAAAAGTATATGAGTGATTTGAATGATTCTTTTTTGAATGAGATCAAAAGCTTCACTGAAGAAGATATTTTTGCGTCTGGAAGAGGGCGAAATTGAAGGTGAAAAAGAAAGTTTCTTTTTAATGGGGCTTTCACATCCTAGATCAGAAAAGTGCTACATGCGGAACATCTTTAGAAAATAGAGGGCGGCATTTGGGTTTCCTTTTTTGACTCACCCGGTTTGTAAATGTAATGCTTTTCAACAGCACAAACGAAAGACTACATGTCTATGTCTGTTCAATGAACAGAACATAGGGATTTTCTGCATCATGATGTTTTATGAGTTCATACCTTTTTTCGTCCATGTGCAGTCAGGCAAATTCGGGTTCAATTTCGTGTACCGACAAAGGTCCATGAGTCTAAGTCTTGTAATGTCTTGTAATTCTCTAGATATAGCACATACTGGTGCACATTTAAGATAACTTTATATGACCCACGACGACGTCATCATGACGTCACCTCAATATTTACCTATAACACATCCCGGTATACATACATACCAAATTTCAACCCAATCGGACCTACAGTTCTCCGGATGTAGGTCATTGAATTATGCACGCAGGGTGACGTCATCATGACGTCACTTGTCGAGACACGATTTTGCTCTGAGGTCTTTGCCTATATTAACTTTGAGTGATATTTGACAGTAATTATTGCCAAAAGTGCTGTCAAGAACAATGAATTACAAAGTCTATGGATAGAACGAAGACGAAAAACCAGAATTGATATTAATCTATTGAATATGCTAAGAAAAAGAAAAATTCATTAAAAATATCATCTTGTAACAAACACCTGGTGATGTCATCATGACATTATCACAATTTCCATATTATAGCACATTACCGTCATGTACATTCCAAGTATCAACCCAATTGCACCTGTCGTCCTTGAGGGCTTCAAAACAGCACCTCTAATGTAATGTGACCTCACTTCCATTTTCTTAAATAACACACCCCTGTCTGTGTACATACCACGCATGAACTCAACCGCTCTTGTAGATATTGTGCTTCGAAAAATGACCTTTAATGTAATGTAACTTGACACCTTATAATGTCATGATGTTGTCACATTTTGAGAAATAATTTTACCATAGGGTTGTTGTTATTATAAAGTCTCATTAGAATATGATTTATTTTATGTCAAAAGTGACCATCAGAAAAGAAAAAAAACTGTAAATTTCGCATTGAAATTCGGATGAACTTGACTATAAAATTGCAAAAAATGACATTATTAATGACATCATTGTGAAGTCACACAAGTATGTATGATTGTACACACCTATTTCTAAACACATAAATTAGTTGCATTCGTGCGATACGGAAAAACAATTCAAGAAAAAAATTCATATAAAACTGTATGATGACGTAATTATAAGGTCACCTCAAATGTCGCATATAACACAGCCAAGTATAGAAACATGCAAAGATTCAACCCAATGGGACAGGTCAGGAGATACTGGCCTGAAAAGAATGCAACTTTACGGGTGTGTCACGTGACCAGCGATGATGTCATCGTGACGTCATGATTCGCGGCACATATTCAGATGGTGGTATAAGAGCATGCCAAATTGGAAGTTGATCGGATACGTGCAAAAGTGGGGGTGCGGAAGAATCGATGTATGAAAAAGCACTGAAATATAAGAAGTTTAGAATTTCTGTAGTAATTGTGGTCAGATTAGTGTCAGGATTGTTTGATTGTTCCAAAATGGCTTTTCAGACCTGAAGTTGACTTCTCTGAATCCTAATGACACCCGCTTTTGTATCAATCTGGAAAAGTGGTTGAAGGTTGAAAATGCGAGTTTCTTAGGCGCATCATGTTTTGGCTTGGTCAAAACCAACCCAACGGAACCCCTATCCCGGCACCAAGTGCATTGGCGTGCATAGGGCGTATTATACAAATACAACATGGTTTGAGGGGAAGTAGTGGGAATAACTGGTCTCGAGGTGTAGGTCAGCTTGACTACATCCCGACGCGGAGGGAGGTAGTCAAGCTGACCTACACCGAGGGACCAGTTTTCCAACTACTTTCCAGTAGCCTCACTGCCTTTTTAGTGGCCTCACTGCCTTGTTTATAATGGCCTTCGTAGATTTTGAATTTTTATTCAGTACAAGATATTCAAGTTCTTCGTCAGTCTATGAAAAAGCCTGGTGCCATCACTCTTTAATTTGTCTTTACTGCAGTAGTTACAAGGACTACAACAACAGACTGGTTCCGTAAAGATTTCATGCCACATACTACATTTTTTACATGTTCTATACGAGGCGAGTTCCAAGTGAATTTTTGGTGCTACCAGAAAAACTACCGCACGGCAGCAAGGGGATACTCACCGGGATGATGTCACCTGGGCGCGTATCATTTTTACTTCCCGGACGCGCGGCGGAATCTGCCAATGACGCGCTTCAATTTGATCATGAATATTTATGAGGTGTAGTAATGTATATTGTCGTATTTTTTGTCCTCTTAACACTAGATTTCCCTCATAAACCACTTCAGTCTGTCTACGACTTGGCTGTTTGTTCTGAATGTGGCACAACTGACAAGTATATTGTGTTCATGCATTAGGGAAAGTGTCTTAAAGTTCGCAATCGCTCAAAAGAACAAAAACAAAGACTTTTCCCCAACTATGCGGAAAGAAACAAAACCCTAAATTTTATCAAGAGTGTCCGAACAGCTCAAAAGAATATAGTCTGAAGGAAAACCAGAGCTTTTTCGGCGGACTTGCCGAAACAGCTGCATATGCCACATGCTTTTACCGTCTGCAATTGTCCTGGCCTTTTCGTCGTTTCCGGCTACCTCTCCTTGATCATTGACAGCCACAATCCGCAGGGTGTACTCTGTGCCAGGCTCCAGGCCAGGAACCGTGGTCGTGTTTCCATCTAGCAGGTCCACGCGCTGAGTCTCCGCAAAGTCCGCATTTTCGTCGTCTTAGGAGTAGAGAGAGAGAGAGAGAGAGGGGAGAGAGAGAAAAAACAACAAATAACACCAAGAAATACCATCGCACCTTGTTTTCTTTTGGTTTTAATTGGTTCACTACTGTGATATGACCTTAACTATAAAATACAGTAGAATTTTGTTACAGCGCACGCACTAACATCGACAACAGTCAATTTTCTAGGGTTATTGTACCAGACAATTAAAAGAGTCTTACGTGCTTCCTTGTACAAAACGTAGAACTCGTTGGCTGCGGCGCCCTCGTCCTTTTGGATAAAGGTCACGTTAATGTACGTCCTTCCGGGCGCGATCTGGGCATCAGCGAAAAGAGGCTTGGGTGGCACTGTAAAATCACAAATAGAAAAAGAAGAAGAGTCCATCATGTGTCTTCCAGTGAATTCACAAGTTATCCAAATGAACTGTGACTATTGGCATTCCTTTGTTATTGCTCATCACCTGTAACCGGCGACTGGACTTGCGAAAGAAGATTTGTGACTGGTACAAAAAATGGTCTGAAGATCATAACTCTCTGATTCCACCTACCTCCACCAACTCGCGTCGTGACCTCCTGGGTGTTCGCTTGGCCGAGGCCATACCCGTTGGTGGCGTAGATTGAGATGCGGTAGTTGGTGTCGGGCTGTGCGGACTCCACCTTGTAGGAATCGGCCTCTGGGTCCCCAATGGGAACTCTGGTCTCCTCTCCCAAATCAATCCAATCGACTACAGTCACAGAGAGAAAGAAAGGTTATTGGTAATAATCAATTTTTGTGGATGCCTTAACTTGCCTCTTTAAAGGCGATCTCTATGAGGACACTTTTACATGTGAGACATTTTCACAAACAGAAGAGTCAGGTTGGCATAGCGGTACTTTGCTCGTCTTCCACCGCTGTGACCCGGGTTCGCATCCCGCCTAGGCCAACGTGTGCATAGGGTGTCAGTCCCTAACGGATTCCGTGGGTTTTCTCCAGAATATTTGTTCTGGGGTTTTCCTCCCCCTCTAAAATTGTAATTCTTCTCATTATCTTCTCTCGACATGTTTCTTTGGGCTCGCAAGCTTAAATGCCATGGGCGCTTTTGAGGAATCCTTCTTTCATTACTAGAAATAAGTAAATAAACAGAAGTATAGTTTTTCCAGGCCAATTTCCTAAAACGTTCATTCACTTCTGAAAATCGGTCATTCATTTTCGTCTGAATCGCTCTGAACACAAGTTTCATTTTCGATATCAGAGCATTCGATTCCATTTCAGTTCAATCAATTAAGTAATTGAGCAGCACTTTTCGTTTATGTCCATTCAGATTTATTTCCAACACTTCTTTTTCACTTCTAGAGTGCGATTTCAAATATGCACCATTGTATTTCAGATACAATTAGGGCTTCTTTTTTACTATTAAACTGTCAATTAAATTAGCTGTACCTGAAATCGATTTAGAAAAGGTTCGCTAGCAAAATGAATGCACAGGTAACGTAATTGGCCGTCTGTTTCTCAAAACCGATTGCACGGACAATGAAAACGACGGAACTTTCGTTAGATTGAAATGGGATTAAAGACGTGCATTCAAATTCAGACGAAAATAAATGACCGATTTTCAGAAGTGAACGAACATTTTAGGAAATTTGCCGGGAAAACCTATATAAATGAGGAACATAGTATAGGTTTCCCCGGCCAATTTCACCAAGTTTTCATTCAATTTAGCGCCTGGCTCATTCCATTTAGATTGAAATTGAAAGATCATGCACATCGCCATTCAACAATCAAAAAGAATCATTCAATTTCACTATCCGAGCAATCTATCGCATTTTAGCTTCACTCGTCCCTGTAAAAGATGGATTCAAATTAAAAGTATCGCGTTGTTCATTCAGTTTCGTCTGAATCACTAGCAAGGGGTTGATCGTGCATTCATTTTCATTAATGGGCAAACATGTTTCACATTTTGTCAAGCATGTTTAAGACTTCGTACACGTAAAACTTTGAATTATCTCGGCGTAAATCATATCTGATGTCTTCAATCCGTAAATGCACACCTCTCTTTCTTATAAAGGGGCCGTGCAATTACTTTATCTCAGGAATATATTTTGCGCAACTTTCTACTCCTCTGAAATGTATAAAAACTATATATTTTGACATCCGTTATTGGTTATTTTTATTGCAAAGCGCACGTCTTTATCATTTACAAGTTTCCATGCTTTTCCGAATTACTGAGCCCGCTGTTGCTGTGATGCGAGTTCAGGTAGACACTGTTCAGTTGTGGGGTTTTCTTTCAAATTCTTCAGCCAAAATTTGCTAATTGAAACCATTACTGAAAAATGTTTGCTCATTAGCTTACTGACATGTACTGACACAACAAAAAATCATCAAAGAAAAGAAATTTATGGCAGCAAAATATCCAAAATTCTAGCAACTTTGTGTGCTGAAATAGCCTGTTTACATTTATCTGCCCAGAATGACATCGAAGTTTTGCTCATGAATATGGAACTTTGTATCAGCATAAAAAGGGAGAAGGCACCAAAAACTACCCTTCAAAATGGAAAAATTTGAAACTTGAAAATACAAGTTGTGTATTTGCATTTGCCCTTTAAATTAGTGTTCGATCAGACACACGGAAGAAATCTTTAAGAAATCACCCAAGAGAAGTGTCACCGATGGTACAACCATTGCCAAACATACATGCCCCGATGTCTTTCACGTCAAGAACTCGTCAACGTTAAAAGAAGCCCCTTGATCAAACGTTTAAACATGTAGAAAAGAGATTATCTTAGCCATTTTCATTTCATTATTTTGGTACATATTGTATCCCTCATATCAGTTAACTAGTTGCATTGTAAATTTTGCAGTCACCAAGATTTTTATGGGAAAAATTAAAATCGAGGCAAAATGGGAAAATGTATCATTAAAACATCTAATTAATTGGAATGCCCAAACAATGAAAGCAATTGCCCCAAAACGAATAAGAAACGAAAAGCATGGTAATACGCGATAAGCGCACCGACGTTCGCTAATTTGAATGAGTCAACCGTCAAAAGGTAGCAAAGACTTAATTTAAGAATGCTACAAGGTAAGTCTTGAATGCACCAAAACAAAAAAAAGTGCCCCACAACGAAAACGAACATTCAGTGCAAAATCTTGGCTGCCTAAAAATGAAATTGGATGCCCCAAAATGAAAAAGAAATCCCAATTTGATCGCATGTGCAAAACTCAAGCGAAACTGAATGGCTGATAATGAAAATGATTCGAAAAATTCGGATATTGACCGGGAAAACCTATATTTTAGTAGCAGGCACTGTGGAGCCTGCTATTGCTTAACCTATTAAGGTTGATGCAGTAAGATTGCACTTTCATGTTTGGAGGGAAATGAATTCCTGTTTCAACTGTGACAGAATGTTCATCGACTATTTTGTGACCGAACAGAAATCATTCAAGAACAGCCGACTAAAACTGTTGTTACGTCAGCACCAAGTTTTGAGAAATCAATTGTCATTTCACTGCCCAGCTGCTTAAATTTACGTTACAGAGGTGCCTGAATCCGAAGACTGGATAGAGCGGAGCAGCCCCAATACTTACAGGGGTTGAAGCTGAGGTAGTATCCGTTGATGACACCGTTGGGGGAAGCCGGCTTGCCCCACTTCACCAGGATGCGGTCAGACAGTGGGACAATAGACATACCAAATACAGGTCCAGACTCTACAGAGTGAATAAAACAGACGTGGGGTTAGATTGCACTGCGAAATAAATTGCCTGTGACTTGTACACAATCATGGAACACCCCTTTGCTTTTTCCCCCCTTTTAACAGTTCAAATTCACTTTTTTCAACAGTTACATCTTCTGTGTTATTGTTTTACATCTGAGGGAGCAAACGCTGTGAAGTCAATTGATAACTCACTGTACAGTATTTTTGTCCTTGAGATTTGAAACCAGAAATTAAGCCACTTGAGCTCAATGATCAATGGTTTTGAATTAAACGATATCAAGTACAAAAAGGATAATCTATCTCGGTCCAAAACAAGCAAAAGTTTGCAAAGTTTTTTTTTGCACTCGGCTATCACACTGATGCTTCTGCCTTTGATGACACAATTTATGTGCTCATTAAAATTGGCAATTTACCTTCTTAAACCACAGGTATTCAATGATTCAATAAAACATCGATGCACACCAATTTGGTCAGTACATATTATTTACCTCCTTCAGGCATCTGAAATGAGACAGGAGCCGACTTTTCGCCCTCACGTTGACCATTTCGGACCGCCACCTGGAATTGGTAGTTCATGTACGGGGTGAGGTCGCCCACACGACAGTTTGTGTTGGGCAGGCACTCTGCAGGCTCCTGGCCCTGGGCCTGTGCCTCTACCATGGTATAGTAAACCTGTAAGAGATCAATACAAACCAATGTCCTCAGAATTACAGATGTGTTTTTTAAATCTGTTTTTGCAGAAATCTACCAACAATGTTTACCTGCGTATTTAATCTCCGTTTCAACTTGAAATTTAACATGTGTCTTCATCAATGAAGAAAACATCCTTTGCACTGCTCATTGCTTTCCAGGGGCCTATGAAAGATGTGTTATTATTTTTTTTAAACAGAACAAATTTTCACAGGTTTGCTCCGGAAGGAATCAAACCCACGCCCCCTGGGTTAATGCATGGTCTGTAGTCAAAGAATGTACGGGGAATAGTTATTTTTAAAAGTCCATTCGAGTTGTGACAGGTTCAATAGCGCAGTGGTTTCTTTCCTCGCCTTCCATCTGTGACGAAAATGCCACTCTGGTCATTTTCTTAGACTCACCTGTACGCCTGGGTAACTTTTTATTAGGTTCCATCCACTTTTATAACTGTTTGATGACTTATTTTATCGCTAGTATTCACCAACCGTCAGCTGTTTTCATGCACTGCCATTGCCATGTGTTTGTGTGTGCTAAAAATAGAGTTAGGGTAAATCCAACATGGCCGCCTCCTTGTTTCTAAAATCTGTTCGGATTGGCCTAAAGTTTTTAACTTTTTTACTTTGAGTGATGGATGTACAGTATAAATTATTGATTTTTCAGATGAATAAAAACTTTGTTGTGTATAGTAATTTTTGCTAGTTTACAACTTGTGGGCGTGGCTTATTTACTACGCGTACGCGCAGGCTGTGTGTAAGGCGCGCGATCCAAAGAGTATAAATAGGGCAGATTTTTGTGAATTCGGGGTTCGGGTGATTTAGTTAACTGAGTTTGCATTTGTCGAGTTGTAGTACTGCTGATCTCTGAGACGTTGAGGAGTGGAGGAGCTGAGGAGCTAGTGAAAGAGCTAATAGGCACGTACAGAGCTGGTTTTAATGTTTACATTAGCGTGCAGATTCACTGGGGAGAAATAGTCATTATAAATTAAGTTAGGGAGGTTTGGAATTAAGAAGTTGAGGAGTAATTGGGGAGCTGAGGAGCCAGCTGAGGAGCCAGTTAAGGAGCTCTTAGGCACAAACGGAGCCAGGTTGTTATTCGCCTATTCGCTAGGGGAAAGTGGTTTACTTAAATCTTAATTTAAATTAGGGAGGGTTGGAATTAAGAAACTGAGGAGTAAGTGAGGAGCTGAGGAGCCAGCCGAGGAGCAGAGGAGCCAGTTAAGGAGTTGAGGAGCAGAGGAGCCAATTGAGGAGCTGAATTTGGAGGACACCTTGTAAGTCACTTATTATTGGAATGGAATAGCTGGATAAACTAATCTAAGGTCATCTAAGTTATCTCAGGAGCTAAGCAGATTCAAGAAACTACTGGCAGACCCGTCAGAGGCCTTGACTTAGCGAGACATTTGGACTGGCAGACGGAATTGTCTAGTCGTGTTTATATTTGGGAAACTACCGGCAGACGGAATTGCCTAACGTAGTGATATTTGTTTTTGAACAGGCAGACGTAATTGCCTATTGTCGTATTGTTTTTATAAGGGCATAGGATTTGCCCGTTGTTAAGTTTATAAGTAAAGTTTAGGGAATAACTTAGAGACTGATTGTTTTGCCTCCCAGTGCAGAGAGCACTATCCTTTAAAGGTATTCCTCCCCCCTTCGGGTAAATAAATTCCAGAGATTCGGCCCATAGACTCGTTCCTCACCAGTGCAAAGTGCACTGCCATTTACTGTATTTTCTCAGCTTTGAATTAATTTAAGTTTAAGCTCATCCTTGGCATTGTTCTTTTGACTGTTGTTCAGTTTTGAATTAAATTGCTAGTTTTCTAGTTGTGCTGAAGATTTGCCTGAGGGGTATCTTTCTTGAGTCAGTCCTTAGGAACTAGTTAGACTGTTTGTCACTTCACTTAACTTCTTCACTGGGTCATATATTTTGACTACGAACTTTAGACGCAGATTAAGAAATACTAAAACCTGTTCAAAACTGGACTGGCAGACGGAATTGTCTAGTCGTGTTTATATTTGGGAAACTACCGGCAGACGGAATTGCCTAACGTAGTGATATTTGTTTTTGAACAGGCAGACGTAATTGCCTATTGTCGTATTGTTTTTATAAGGGCATAGGATTTGCCCGTTGTTAAGTTTATAAGTAAAGTTTAGGGAATAACTTAGAGACTGATTGTTTTGCCTCCCAGTGCAGAGAGCACTATCCTTTAAAGGTATTCCTCCCCCCTTCGGGTAAATAAATTCCAGAGATTCGGCCCATAGACTCGTTCCTCACCAGTGCAAAGTGCACTGCCATTTACTGTATTTTCTCAGCTTTGAATTAATTTAAGTTTAAGCTCATCCTTGGCATTGTTCTTTTGACTGTTGTTCAGTTTTGAATTAAATTGCTAGTTTTCTAGTTGTGCTGAAGATTTGCCTGAGGGGTATCTTTCTTGAGTCAGTCCTTAGGAACTAGTTAGACTGTTTGTCACTTCACTTAACTTCTTCACTGGGTCATATATTTTGACTACGAACTTTAGACGCAGATTAAGAAATACTAAAACCTGTTCAAAAACAAATATCACTACGTTAGGCAATTCCGTCTGCCGGTAGTTTCCCAAATATAAACACGACTAGACAATTCCGTCTGCCAGTCCAAATGTCTCGCTAAGTCAAGGCCTCTGACGGGTCTGCCAGTAGTTTCTTGAATCTGCTTAGCTCCTGAGATAACTTAGATGACCTTAGATTAGTTTATCCAGCTATTCCATTCCAATAATAAGTGACTTACAAGGTGTCCTCCAAATTCAGCTCCTCAATTGGCTCCTCTGCTCCTCAACTCCTTAACTGGCTCCTCTGCTCCTCGGCTGGCTCCTCAGCTCCTCACTTACTCCTCAGTTTCTTAATTCCAACCCTCCCTAATTTAAATTAAGATTTAAGTAAACCACTTTCCCCTAGCGAATAGGCGAATAACAACCTGGCTCCGTTTGTGCCTAAGAGCTCCTTAACTGGCTCCTCAGCTGGCTCCTCAGCTCCCCAATTACTCCTCAACTTCTTAATTCCAAACCTCCCTAACTTAATTTATAATGACTATTTCTCCCCAGTGAATCTGCACGCTAATGTAAACATTAAAACCAGCTCTGTACGTGCCTATTAGCTCTTTCACTAGCTCCTCAGCTCCTCCACTCCTCAACGTCTCAGAGATCAGCAGTACTACAACTCGACAAATGCAAACTCAGTTAACTAAATCACCCGAACCCCGAATTCACAAAAATCTGCCCTATTTATACTCTTTGGATCGCGCGCCTTACACACAGCCTGCGCGTACGCGTAGTAAATAAGCCACGCCCACAAGTTGTAAACTAGCAAAAATTACTATACACAACAAAGTTTTTATTCATCTGAAAAATCAATAATTTATACTGTACATCCATCACTCAAAGTAAAAAAGTTAAAAACTTTAGGCCAATCCGAACAGATTTTAGAAACAAGGAGGCGGCCATGTTGGATTTACCCTAACTCTATTTTCCGCCTGGTGGCAGCGCTATCGTCCTGGTAACATCTTGGACAAGTTTGACGGACCGCGAATCATACGGACCGATCACACTTTTCAAATTTCCGCCACACATCGTTATCGCCAGGGTTTGATTCCTGCCCGGACCAGATGACGATTGGGTTTTCAGTCCCTACACGACTCCGCGGGTTTTCCCCAAATTTTCTTTTGGGGTTTTCCTCCCATCTCCAAAACTGTCATTTCTTCTCATTGTCTTCTCTCTGAAGGTTTTGTCAGGATTTCGAGTTACAGAGCCTAGGAATCCTTGTTTTCATTATGCCTACTAGTAATGCATGAAATAGAAATAAATAGATAAATTCATAAGTGGGACTATACAGCAAGTAACATAATTAAACTAAAAGAACATTCCATATTTAGAAAACTACTAATTTACTGATGCTCAGGTTCAGTTAAAAAAAAGCGTAATAATAAGCGATTTCAAAAAGTGTTATATAAAAACTGTTCATGAATAACGCGCAAAAAAAATACATTTAAAAGTTACCAGGAACTTCTGGAGCATGCCCTTAATAGACGAGGCAGGCACTTCATCCCAGGTTAGGACGACTTCCGTTGGGCTGTCAGCGATCACCTGTACATTCTGTGGTGCTTTCGTAGGAGCTGACATCATTACAGAAAAACAGGTAAATCAAAATTTGATACAACAGTCAAGAAGAGCGGAAGGGAAGATCCTTAAATGTTGGCCGGAAAGAGGAGCTGTCATGATGAAGTGCAATTTCTGTTTACTTTGTCTCACTCAAACCAGCCGTTTTCATAATGTGCTTATCCGGCAATTTTCATGAGTCTTTCATTTTCTGTCAGGCAGTCTTTTTCTGATATTCAAGCAGAAAGTATCGCTCTGCAAATGTATGTTCCAGGCTTAATACAAATATAGATAAAGCAAACCTGTAAATCCAGTCACATTCATAATCGCACAATCGTTTGGTTGTTAACCTGTACATTATTGTAATGCTTATAGCGCTTTCCATCCTATCAACAATCTCAAAGCGCTTTACAGTAAAAATACCCCGTTCATTAGGCCACGAGATATCAGCGGCAGCCGATATCAGCGCACATTCGGCCTCTACCCTCACAGGCACCCATTTATAATCCTGGGTGAAGAGAGACAAGTGTAGTTAAGGCCAAAAAAAAAAGTCTCCGGTTTCTGGTATGCGCGCGCGTCGCCGCAGCCATGCGCGTCGGCAAAATGAAAAAGTTTTTTTTTCAATACAAGATGATGTCTCAAAACCGCCAAACTCACTGGTTTGACTGGAATTCTGCTGCTGCACAATTTTAACGTGTTTTTAGATGGGGTTATGATCGAGAATAAGCTTTATGTGGCCTCTCTGGACTCCCATATACTTGCACTAAGTTTAGTCGGGCACCATTTGCAGTCATCAGCCGACATTTGAAGCCAAAAAAAAAAAAAAAACAGGTAAGAAAAAAAAAAGCCGCGTAGCCGCACCACTTTTGGGGCAAACTCCATACCAGAAACCGGAGACTTTTTTTTTGGGCCTAAATGTCTTGCCCAAGGGCATGGACACCGTGATGTTCGAGGCAGGGTTCGAACCCACGCACCTTCGTCAATGAGTTATACACCGTAACCAATGAACCGTGGCATTCTGTGTTTAAAAATCAGTAAACACTCAGCCAATTTCTGTGCCAAGCTGCAGCTCTCTGTCATTTAAAGCCAATACTCAATAAGATCAAGTTTGCGGTGGCACCATGTAACAAATCTCCTTTGTGAACTGGTGAGGTTCAGAAAAGGATCGGGGAAACTCAAAGTTTCAGAAAGTATACTGCCCGTCGTCAGGTTTCTCCTGATTGATGATGGGCAGAGTATACTGTCCGGAATTTCCAGTTCTCCCGGTTTTATTTAGAACCGCACAATATGAGATTTGTTAAATGGTGCTCCCGTAAACGTTCATCTTATTGCTATCTTTACCAAGTCGATGTGCTAATCTATGATAATTCTAGCTGATTCAGCGATTCATTATGCAAAAAAAAACTCTTGACCTCGATATTCTGACCATTCAGCGGGCGCTTTCTATATCGGGTATCGTCATGGATATCTATAAATAAAACCTAGACAAGACATCTATTATTCTTTTTTATGTTGTGAATTGAGCAAAAAAGTCTGCGGTCACGCGCTCTGTAATGATATGTTAAGCGATACGCCAAGCAATAATAAAGCTGTCCAATCACGGTCGTGTCTAGATTTTGCAGAGCTATGCGCGTCCGGCACTGCATCTGAATCGACCAATCAAAAACTTAGTCCATATTTCGGAATGAAGTGACGTCAAGATTTTAGTAAAAGTCGACTCCGATTGGCTGGCGCGCGGGGTCGCATAAGTGCCGGTTCGTACTTCACGCGAATGCGAATGAGATGCGAATTTGACGTCACGAAGCATTCGCTGCGTAATTCGCCGAAGTTAAAATGTGTTCAACGTTAGCGAATTCGCAGCGCGAAAACTCCCCATGACGCCACAAATTCGCGTTCGCGTTCGCTTTCGCGCCGAGTATGAACCGGCCTTTCATCTGCATGCCTATAGATAATTATATCATACGTTGGACCGGAGATAGGGCTCCGTGGACAACGGATGATTCTCAGACTACTCTTTACCATGCAAACCTTCAAATTTTATTGAGCCAATACTCACTTCCTTCTCCAGTGAAACCTGACTTTTCTGAAGCTGGTCCTTCCCCTAGGTCATTCATGTACACCACCTGCACCTCCAGCTCTTTGTAGATATCACCGTCATCGATCTCGTAGCTGGTCGTCCTGTAGTCCTCAACGAGTTCCTCGTTCCAGTTCTCGGCGTCTGGCTCCTTCCATCTTATCACGTACGTGAATCCGGGGCCGTTCTGGTCATACGGGTGCACTTCCTGGAAAGGGTGGCAATTCGGGTAAAGGTCAACAACTATTGTAGTACATATTTGTGAGACATGCTGGCAAAATGAGACAAAACTTGGCAGAGGTGGACATGAGGGTTTGCAGATAGTAGGAAGTAGAATATAATTCTCCTTAAAGTATTGTTTGTTCAACTACAGTTGGAAATTCAGCAGACAAGTTATGGCTGTTTATAGAAACATGTGTCAAAAAGTAAAATACTGAAAAAAATCCAATTTCTGTATTCAGGAAAATGAAAGATGTCAATGGTTTGTCCCTAAACACACTTTTAATCTACGATTTGTATAACATTTCTTTAAAATATGTGTTGTAGACATAATGAAAGATTACCAATAAATCTAAAAGTCGAAAAAAAAAATCACGGGTGGTGATCTTGATTCATTTTTGTTATGGGGGGCATTTTATCTCCAATATGGCCTGTGTCCAGTCCCGTCTCATTTTGCCAGAATGCCTCACATTTGTTTCCTTTTCATACATATTTTTTAATGTTTCTTTTTTATAAAGGCACTTGGGGGCTTTTGAAAATTGGATTCTGTTTCAAAAGCTCAATTGCATTACACAAGCTAACTTTTTCTTTCAGAGGTGGAATTTGTTTCAAATTTGAATTTTCAAAACTGAATTCCTTTCCTAAATCCAGGTTGTTTCAAAAGATTGAATACCGTTTCAAAAAGAAAAATTCCGTTCAGGAATGCGTGAAATGTTCTACTCAGACTCCTTCCTATTCCAACTGGGAACATCAGGTGTGTCTACCGTGCATGTACTTATGTACAGTGTATGGTAACATTTTCAGAAAGGTATGTTATGTACATTGTACATGTAAGTACAACAGCTGATTCCAGCTGCATACGCACCAGGAACATAGGTCATTCCCGGATCCCATCACGAACGTCCCACTTTATAAAAGTCAATTAATTCACAAAGAGCTGTTAAAACATTAGGACAGACATCTGCGCTTTAACTCGGAAGTGAGTGTGACGCCTTGTGGCTGCACCTCAAATTCGTCTCTCATTTTTATCCGTGTTTGTACTGTTTCCGTATTGTGTTTAAAGACCATTTTTATATCTGTGGTGCAATGAAGAGCTGGAGAATCTTCAGGAGTGAGTGCTAGTCGTGATCGATGAACTCGTAAGTTGATTTTTGGCTGTAAAAAAATTGCTCATCCGCCACTGCTTTGGACAGTAAAAATCAGTCAACCATGAATGTATACCCTGTGTGCGAGCTCAAACGTATTGGTGCAGCGGTACTCTCCCGTTGAGCAGTTCTACCTGATACAGTATGGCAGAGGATTAAGGCCCTGGGACTGTGCAATGTTTCACCTACCCGCAGAGGCTACAGGGGCGGAGCCAACAGAGTGCATACAATACGCACAAGAATTACAACAGCCCGACAGCAATCTTGTTATTCAGCCGGCGTCAATAAGAACAATTTAGTTAGTTTAACTAACAAAAGCTGGACTTTCCCATGCATTCTTAACCTAAATGTTCGCTCCCTGAGTATTGAAAAAGCTGACAAATTGCTAGCAGTTGCCCAGAACAATCAAGTGGACATCGCATGTGTGTCAGAGACATGGTTCAACGATCACATAACGGACGAAGCCGTAGCTCTTCCAGGTTTTACATGTGAGAGATAGGACAGAGTAAAACAGAAAGGAGGCGGAGTCGCGTGCTACATCAGAAACACAATCCCTTACAAAAGGTTGCAGATCCTTAACGATGAAACTCATGAAGCAGTGTGGTTGTCCCTGAGGCCACGAAAACTTCCCCGACGTTTTTCCACCCCGGCCATTGGTTGCATTTATCACCCACCTGATGCAGATAACACATCAATGCATGACTACATTATCAACTGCGTGGATAGTATCCTGCGTCTGCACCCGTCGTGTGGCGTAGTTGTGACAAGTGACTTTAATCAATTGAGAGACAACTTTCTTGGAACCCATTACGGCTTCAAGCAACTGGTTGAAACTCCAACACGGCAACAGCCAATTCTAGACAAGGTATGGACTAACTTGTCACCAGTTTATGATAAGCCGATCGTGATTTCCAAACTTGGAACATCAGACCATAACATGGTACTATTCTCACCATCAAATGCCCCTTCCCTGAACACTGGACACAAAGTGAAGGTCACCACTAGGTGTATGGGCCGGCAAGAGAAAGCTCTCTTTGCGTCAGCATTATCTGAGATCGAATGAAAGGAGTTGTATCACTCGGAAAGCTGCCAGGAGAAGAGTTCCATTTATCAGAGAACCAAGAACTCTATAATGGCGTCATGTTTTCCTACTAAGATAGTGACCCGGCATACCAACGACAAACCATGGGTCACCGATTCGTTTAGGAAATTGGTACAGAGACGCCAGAGAGCAAAGATGGCAGGCAACATCAAGGTTGCAAGAATGCTTCGTAACCAAGTCAACCGCTCCGCCTCACGCCTCCGACACAACTTTTATCAGTCCAAGATCGCGTCGTTGGAGAACTGCTCTGGAAAAATATGAAGATGCTCATTGGTGCGTCATTAGGCGGAGAGAACAGTCTACAGGGTCTAGCTAACACAATGACAAATGGTGATCTTCAAGCACTTGCGGACAACATCAATGACTTTTTGTCTCTGTTAGCAGTGATCTCCCCCGCCTGGACGAAACCCATCCAGTATTCCAGACAGCAGACCCGGTGCCAGTAGAGTTCTACATTAGCGTCCGTACAACGAAAAGAGCTTTGGATAAGATCAAAGTCAACAAAGCTACGGGATCGGATGGAATACCTGCATGGATCCTTCGTGACTTCTCAGACCTCTTAGCTACTCCTCTAACTGACATCTTCAATAGTTCTGTTGAAGAAGGAGTAGTTCCCACCGTATGGAAAACTGCAGACATCGTTCCCGTGCCAAAGTCACACCCATAGGTCAGTAGAAAGGGATATCAGACCAATCTCACTGACTCCCATCGCTGCTAAAGTTTTTGAATCCGTCGTACTCCAATGGATGACCGTGCAGCTCAAGGACAAAATAGACCCCAACCAATTTGGATGCATATCTGGGACTGGCACTACAGACGCTCTTGTGGAAATGGTGCATCGATGGTACGAGGCGACTGACAAACCTGGTTGCTTCGTACGGATCTTGCTGTTGGATTACTCAAAGGCATTCGACCATATTAATCACCATATCCTCATTCAGAAACTCACAAACATCGGCCTGGATCATCACCTAGTACGCTGGATGGCTGCGTTCCTGGTGGATAGAGCTCAACGCGTCAAAATTGGGCCTGTGCTGTCAGAGTTTGGTTACCCCAGTGGTGGTGTTCCGCAGGGAACATTATCTGGACCCAAGGATTTCCTGGTCCAGATTAACGACCTGGAAACTCCATGCCCTTTGTACAAGTACGTGGATGACAGCACTATATTTGAAATCTGCAAGAAGGGGTCTGCGTCAGAACTTCAAGAATCTGCAGACATTGCTTCCCAGTGGTCTCTGAGGAACGACATGAAAATCAACGCTTCAAAGACCAAAGAACTCATTATTTGTTTTTGTAAGGACCCATCTCATTCAGCCAATTTGCCTAACATCATTGATAGAGTCACACAGGTCAAAGTTTTGGGAATAATACTGTCCTCAGACCTACCTTGGAATGCTCATGTTGACCACATAGTTCGTAAGGCTAGTAAAAGACTATATATGCTGTATCAGCTGAAACGTGCAGGTGTGTATCAAGCTGACCTACTTAAAATTTACTTGTCAGTGATAAGACCAGTTCTAGAATATGCCTGCCAAGTATGGCACAGCAGCTTGGCTAACTACTTGTCCAGCAAGATAGAAATGGTACAGAAGAGAGCCATAAGGTGTATATACCCAGGGCAGAGTTATAACCCTACATTAGTTTCTCTCGGCATCCAATCACTTCATTAAAGACGTAAGGAATTGTGCATGGCTTATTTTCAGAAACTCCAGGATCCGTCTAATAAATTACACAGCCTCCTCCCCCATCCCCGTGAAGTGTCATATAATCTAAGATCTACCAATAAACTGCCCCTCCCGGGACCCGCACAGATAGGTTTAAAAATTATCTTATCCCATGGTGCCTTTTTAATCAGTAGCTTTTTAACCAGTAGCTTCGTCGAATGAATTTTTAAAGATAATTGCAGTTAATTTTAGATGTTTTTTTTTTCTCCTGAAAAACATCCGTTTTTGAATGCAATCTACTTTGTAGATCTGCCTGTTTCCTTATGTTTTAGCTCAGGATCATTGTTGTGGTATTTTGTATCTGTTAATTTTTGTGTGTGTATTTTAAGCTGCTATAATTATATGTAAAATATGTGTATACGTAATCAGAACCCGCACAGATAGGTCCGAAAATTCTCATATCCCATCGTACCTTATTAATCAGTAGCTTTTTATCAGCAGCTTCGTTTAATGAGTTTTTAAGACAATTGCACTTAATTATATTTCGTCCTCGTCGTCGAGACTCACCGTGTATTATTGTCCCTGGTAATACGGTTTGCACCACCCTTTGAAGAAAATGGATCATTCCTTCATTCATAAAAATGCAAATTAGCCCTAGCACGCTGGGTATAAAGCCCCCAAGAAACCATTGAAGCATGTCTTTGTTTCTTGTGGTACGGCTAGCACACACGTATTTTACACTACGTCTTCAGTTTCACGTACTTGTTCAATTTTAGCTACAACCAATTCGGTTTTTCTACGTTTATTGCTTCGATATGTCGACCAAGAAATGGAAAGCCAACGACAAGCAGGCTAAAGATGTGCCTGGTTCAGCCTTGAGATCTTCGTCTACGGCCTCGGGACCGTCTGCGGCCTCGTCAACCTCGCCTATGGTTGAACGAGTGCGTAAGTCACAGGCCCCAGCCTCGCCTTGGGCTGGTGGTCAACGTGCAGAAGAATTGGAAAGCGGGCCGCCTTGCCCAATTTCCGCCACCGACACGAGAGCGTATTCCTCGCAGAATATACCGCAAGTGTCTAGAGCACCACAGGCTAGACGTGTGGTAGAAAATGAGCCCGGACAGACCTCGCCTTGGGTCGTCCCTCACAATCAACCAGGGCCGTCTTTCTTCCCCGGACAACAATGGAATTTCCCGCCTACAGCCAGCAATGCTACCGCTAGCGGGCAGCAGTCATTCAATATGGCGGCGCCCATGGCTCCGCCGTATTGGTCATTTCCGTGGTTTAACTCCGCACAACAGTGGCCTCCTAACACTACCCAACAGATGTATCATCAACATTGGGGAAATCCCTCAACCCCTGGACAGCTCTCGCTTCCTCCGCCGGCGAGTCCGAACATTTGGGGCGGTAATTCGGGCCCTGGTACGGGTGCGAATTTGGACTCCGTGAGTGTCGGACCGGCAATATCGGAGATTGGTGGTGACGCTGAATCGGAATCTCTCAATCCGAGTGGACAAGGCATCAGGTTTTCCAGTGACGGATAAAGTTCTTTCCTGGTGGGAAGACCTGCGTTCAAACAAATTGGGACATGAAGAGTTCAAAGAAGAGACTCTATCCAATCAAGTACCAGTCGAACAGGAACCACATTTCAAGGCTCCAGAATTACCAAGTCAGGTAAAGTCATCCTTCAAGGAAGTTCGATCGTCTTTAGTAACTCAAGATGACAAGCTTAAAGACTCTCATAATCATCTGCTGAAAGCAGCTTTACCACTGACCCATCTTTTTGATGCTTTGGTGGACCCATCCTGTCCAGAGACAGTTGACACCAGTATGGTTAAAGATCATGTCACCTCGGCATTGATACTGCTTGGGTCTGCAAGCCAGAGTCTAGCTCTTTCAAGACAACATGCTTTTGATGAGCTACTTGACAGAAAATTTGAAAGCCTCAAACGAAATTCACCGTCGATGAGCCATCTCTTTGGTGGAAACTTAGTCAAGGACATAGAGGATGCCGAGAAAGCAAATAAACTAGCAGCCAAAGTCACCAAGACTGCAACATCTACTGCAGGGCCGTACAAGGGGAATATATTTTCTCCTTATTATTCTGCGGTAAACAGAAGATTTCGGGGCAACAACTCCTATCAAGGGTGATCATCGGGCTATACTACCAAGCCAAAGTATGCAGCCTATAAATCTGCATCCTCAAGCCGTGGCAAATTCAGATCAGAGCGAGGTTCGTTTGATCAGAAATCAAAAAAGTAGATACATGTTCATGTATTTCTTTCAAGACAAGTCGTCTTCAATATTTTGTTTGTAATTGGAAATCCCTAACAAGAGACAGTTGGATACTTCAGTCAGTTGTTGGTCATAAAATAGAATTTTTAGAAGTTCCGTTTCAATACAATGCGTAAGAATTTGGAACGGCCAAACACTACTCAATCCAACACCGGATGTGGTGATCCAGACAGATGCATCACTCCAAGGATGGGGTGCTTTGCACATCCGAAATCCGCACAGGCGGCAGATGGTCGATATTGGAACAGAATCTACACATCAACCATCTAGAACTGTTGTCAGTGTACTACGCCCTTCGGGCATTGGTGTACCATCAACGCAACCTACACATCCGACTACAGGTGGACAACATGACAGTAATGTCATACATCAGCCACAAAGGGGGGACTCAATCGCCAGAATTGTCATCCCTTGCAGTGAAGATATGGACATGGTGTCTACACAGACAAATAACATTGTCAGTAGAATATCTCCCAGGAGCACAAAATGTCATAGCAGACGAATTGTCGCGCAACTTCAACGACCGCACAGAGTGGCATCTTCTCCCCGAAATTTACAGAGCAGTGGTAGAAAAGATGAAATTTCAACCGTCGATCGATCTGTTTGCATCACGGCTCAACAGACAGGTTCCAAGATTCATATCATGGCACCCAGATCCACAAGCATGGCAAGTGGACGCGTTCACCATCAACTGGTGCAACATGGCAGGGTATCTGTTTCCTCCCTTCAGTCTGCTCTCAAGGTGCCTTCAGAAAATTCAAATAGAAGAAGCCACAGTTCTGCTAATTGCACCAGTTTGGAAAACACAACCGTGGTATCCACTAATGTTAAAACTGACAGTAAAAACACCATTACTGTTACCACAGCGCCCAGATCTCCTTCAATTATGTCACAATCGTCAACAACACCCCATGCACAAGGTGATGCAGCTGGCTGCCTGGGTGCTATCGGGAAATCACTCGCAGCAAGAGGACTTTCGCAGAAGGTGTCCTCAGTTATCATGGCATCATGGAGAAAAGGAACAAATGCTCAATTTGACTCAGCATGGAATCGCTGGAGTCGCTGGTGTCATCAACGACACTTGGATCCAGTTCAAGCACCTTTAGCAGAAGTGTTGGAGTTTCTCCATGCATTGTTGGAAGATGGGCTACAATATAGGACAATTAATGTCTACAGGTCTGCTATTTCATCAGCCCATGTTCAGGTGGATGATGTCCCTATTGGACAACATCCTTTAATGACAAGGTTTTTTAAAGGTATTTTTAATATTCGACCACCGAAACCTAGGTATTCATTTACTTGGGATGTTGGGAAAGTTCTCCGTTACCTTGGTTCACTCTCATCAAACAGGAAGCTCAGTTTGAGGCTTCTGACGCTCAAATTGGTCATGCTGGTCGCTCTCGTGACAGCAGGGCGTTGCTCATCATTAATTGCTCTGGATTTACATCACATGAAGAAGTCCAGGACAGCATTTGAATTTGCACCAGTCAGCCAGTCTAAATGTTCCTCAGCACATAGGCCAGTTCCAAATGTTGTTTTGGCCCGTTATCCAGCAGATCAAAAACTATGTGTTTTTTTCAACGTTGGAGGTGTATATTCATCGTACAGGATTGCTTAGACGCCTAAATAATCAGCGCTTTACAAGGCTGTTTCTATCATTCGGGAAACCTCATCATCCAGTAGTTTCATCTACTATTGCTAGATGGCTGAAAATAGTGATGGCATCGGCAGGTATAGATGTCTCACATTATAAAGCACATTCTACTCGGGCTGCGTCTACATCTGCTGCAGCAAGAGTAGGAGTTTCTACTGCTCAGATTTTACTGACAGCAGGCTGGTCATCGGTGAACACCTTTGGAAAGTTTTACAAGCGAGATGTACCATGTTCAGAGGAATATGGAAGAGCAGTCCTGTCTTCGGCTTAGCTGTGAAATATACACGGTGAGTCTCGACGACGAGGACGAAATATAATTTCAAATTATGTAAGGGTTCTTACCTGCCATATTATTGGAATTATATGAGGCCGAGGAGGAGAGACTCACCTCCCTCCCTCGGTGCCTCAGTTCTCTTCAGCCTCCCACCCATCTTGAGTCCTCAGCCAGGACCAGTACCTTAGATCTACAAAGAGACATGCTTCAATGGTTTCTTGGGGGCTTTATACCCAGCGTGCTAGGGCTAATTTGCATTTTTATGAATGAAGGAATGATCCATTTTCTTCAAAGGGTGGTGCAAACCGTATTACCAGGGACAATAATACACGGTGAGTCTCTCCTCCTCGGCCTCATATAATTCCAATTATATGGCAGGTAAGAACCCTTACATAATTTGACATTTTAAAATGAATTTTTATATCCTGAAAATAACCGGTAGTTTTTTAACGCAATCTCCTTCTTTTTTTTTTTGATCTGCTTGTTTTCTTATGTTTTAGCTTGGGATCATTGTTCGTGGTATTTTGCATCTGTTAATCTCTTTTATGTGTATTTTAAGCTGTTATAAATTTATGTAAAATGTGTGTATTATGTAATCCAACCTAACGGTTGCCAATAAATATATTATCCTATCCTATCCTAACTGATGTGTCATTTCATACTTTTCATTGAGGAACTTTTTTTCTTGCTTTAAAACAACATGCAAGAAAAAAAAGTACTGACAGCCACATTTTTATGCATGAGCAATGTCTTAATCCAGTTTAGAAAAAGTAAAGAATATCTTCGGAAGCAACACCCAAGTCGTAATAATCACATTCATTATCCCATACAAAGATGAAGACGCAAGGGGAAGATTTTTTTGCCCAACTTCACAGTCGTGTTTCGAGTCATTTGTAAATAAATTTCCTCACTTTTATCCACAAAGAGGTCGTTTTAAAAGACAATAAAGAGAGCAACAACAGCAATTTCTAACTAGGCAACTGCTGGTGAAATATATGTTAATTAATGATTTAGCAGTTTTCTTTGGGAAGGCGGCAGACCAAGTACAAGCTTCAGCTTATTGTCTGACCTCTTCATAGTATTCATACACGTCTTGCTATGAATGTCAAGTTTCTTATTGTTCATTTGTATCTTGTAAATCGCTTGTACTATTATGCAATAAACTAGAAACTCCTTCTACAACAAGCAGAACATTTTTCCAACCATGACATTTCCTGTGATGAAGTCGGGCCCTGTTGGATAAACTTACCGGCCATGTCACACTCAACTTGCCAGGATCCGTGGCTTCAAGTCCCACCTCCTCTGGGGTCTTAGTGATAGCTGCGGCTGCAGTCGTGTACTCATCAGACAACTCGCTGGGCTGAGACTCTCCGATAGCATTGACGGCCACCACGCGGAACCGGTAGGTGACGTAGGGGGAGAGGTCTAAGGAAGCCTGGTTGGAGGTAGCTGGCACAGTAGACTCAACTACCCAGCCAAGGTCGGGGAAGTTGGTCATGCGTGAGACAATGTAATCAGTGATTGGGGAGTTGCCGTCGTCCCCACTGTACCACGCCACAGCAACCATGGTATCGGAGATGTCAGAGCGCTTGCTGACTATCGGTTTCGACGGAGGGGCTGGTACAGCTAATCAAAATCAAGAACAAACAAAACAGAGAGAAAATTATAAGATTTTGGGAAGAGTCGGGTTGGAGCAGTGGTACATCCATTCATAATTTCCCCGCCATTTTCAACTTCTGGACCAGGTTTGAATCCAACCCAGGCCAACACATTGATTTAGGCTTTCAGTCCTGGCCAGATTCTGGGGTATCCCCCCCCCCTGCATAATAATTATTGATTTCTTTACTGATATCACGCTTCAGCTTTCTAGCAAATTTCAAGTGGCAGTCCTTTTGCCTGAAATGTACTGCATTAATAGTTTTGTACCGATCAGGATACCCCGATTCATATTTCCTTTCAAACTAGTATGTTAAATTTAAATCGCTGAGGTGATAAAAGTGTCCTCTTCTTTCTACTGAGGTACATGCATCTTGTAAGAGTACAAGAATTACCTGCTTTAGCTTATCTACATGTATAGTCGACAAAGAGAACCTGTCAAAAACGTTTTGCCTTAATAGGTCTGCGTGCCCATTATTGCCGTAAGTAGTAAAATTGAAAAAAAGCCTGTAATTAACAGTCCCTTGACTGTAATGGAATTTCTGTCATGAGATCAGGTGCATTCCTGTCATGTGTCCTTCATGGATACTTTGTAGGCGGCACAGCACTCTCTACAGCTGGGTGTATTGGCACAGCATTGATATCAGGCACCGACAAAGATGGCAATCAATCACCACGCGGTTGGTCATTCATCAAGAAACGGCTAAATTGGTTGCTGTGAGAAACACAATCCATACGTGTCTAACAACACTGATGGAAAAGGCAGATACGAGGTTAAAAACCAACTTACTCTTAATGACCAGCTCTGTGGCTGCTGAGGCCTCGTCTTCAGATGTCACAGCTTTGCACTTGTACGTTCCAGTGTCCTCCACAACAGTAGCCATCACTTTCAGGTAGTCCGAGCCCGTTTTGGCCCGTCGGAAGCGTCCGCCCGGCACCGTCAGGTCCAGCTCTTCTTCGCCGGCTCCAACGTTACGGTACCAGGTAACTGTGGGTTCCAGCGCGGCATCTTGATCTACCTCGCATGCAATGATGGCGTCTGTACCCAGCTCTACACTCACCTCAGCCCCTGGACCCACGACGATTGTTGTACCTCCTGAAAGACAATTTATATGCACATTTTACAAAGTTGATTTGGAGTCAAGATATGGGGAAAAATATCTTCATGCCGGGAATAATGGGTATACCTAAAAATAGGTGAGAAATTTCTCTTCTTCAAATTCTAGAAAATCTATGTACCATTTTTAATGCCAACTAATCTTGAAGCGACTGCATTGCTCAACAAGATTACTTAAAGGAAGGGTAGATCATCTGTTATTTGTGCATTTTTTTGTTTGAAGCAACAAAATGCTCAAAATCTAAAGATGGGTACTTAACAACTAAGTTGATGAAGTTTTAGCCCTGTGTATTCTAGGATCTTAATTTAAATTCAAAACTTGCCGAGTCCTGTTTTGAATTGCGCCTGAAATGAGCATCGGGGACACGTTCTAATTTAGCCAATTGCAGCTACGCAATACCACGCACTGAACCAACTAATAACCGCGCGCAAGTGTGCATCGTGTCAGCGCTTGCCCACATCCATTAACGGAAATTTCCAAAAATGCATCAGTTGACGCATCTTTGGAAATGGCCTTCTTAATTTTTTTTGTTCAAAGTGGCAGCACGCCAGAAAGACTAATTTCACAGGGAATTGACTGACATCCCCATCTTTAAACCAAGTCACACTTTCAATAATAAATTTGTTATTTTTTTGTTTTGTGAATTCACGTAGCTGCAAATGATCTACTCAATACCTTTAACACAAGAAAGGCAAAGTTGTCAAACCATCACAATTCATCTAGTCTCGTGGCAACTGGCAAGCTACTCAAAAGAACATTGACTGAGGTATTTGTTTGTACATTCTCTGTAACGCTTTTGCTCAGCGTGAAATTTGCCTCGAGGCTTGACTCATCTATACACCCATCCTGACGAAAACTACACCCATCCACTTACTTCTGACATTCACCGTTGATGTGGCCTCCACTGCTACAAAGCCGTTCTCAATAATGCACTTGTAGTCGCCGCTATCTTCCACAGCCACTCCTGTGACTGTCAGAGTGCTGGTTGTGCTTCTCGTATTGCCATCTTCCACGATGCTGTACTTAAATTCACCATGGACAATCTGGTTGTGATATCAATGAGATAAAAACACTTGAAAGTTGGGTTTTACCCATAGAGCTATATTAAATTACTAGAGCGCTGACTCACGTACAAAGTAATGCTCGATTGGCGCATCCATGTTTGTGCACAAACCTATCGAAGGCTAGAAATTTTGCACGTTTTTGGTACGGCTATTTGCATATTTGTGTTTGTATTCCATACCGGTGCGTCATCGAAGCCAGTACGCCCAAAACCGAAACGCACGATCAGCAAATGAGCGTGACATTTTGCTCTACGCAAACAACAGCGCAACGTGTGTGTGTATCCGCTGCAGATAATTAACCGTGGTTTTTTTTTAAACCGGAACACGCGCTTAAGAAGCTTGCGTACGTTCTACTTGCACGTTGCATGTGGAGTACACTTTTAAAATTCAATCCATCAAATTTCATTATGTTCTACAAACACGCACATGAATTCAAGATGTCTGCGGTTCAAAGTGTCTCCGGGTGCAAGAACAAGGAAATAACACTCTAGTAATTTAATATAGCTCTATGGTTTTACCCTTCAACTGTGTAATTTCATATTTGTAAACACTGCATACCACAATTAAGGGTGGAATTGATAGCAAATTCTGGTCAGGACAATGGATCATTTATCAGCGGTGGGTTTTTGTTTTTTAAATTAACCCTCCAATGCAAACATAAATTCTGTGCCTAGTTGTCCTTTCAGTCCAAATCAATCAAGTGACTGTTTTCAACAGTTAAGAGTCCCCAGCTCACATAAGCAGGCTTGACTGGCTGTGACTGTTTATGTGCCGTAACTTCATAAGGCTATGCTTTGACTGTAGGTGATTGATGAGACAGCTGTGCCACCAAATGACTGCTTTTGTCTGTTGACTAAATTTGACTGAAATGTGATCTGACTGTTGGTGACTAGCCTGTGTAAAAGGCATGGCAGGGGAAGTGGATGGAATTTTTGACTGTCTGTGACTGTTCAAATAGTGGGCAGTAGAAGGGTTAATGGGAAAATACAACATTTGGAAACATCATAAAACGAAATGATCAAAATATCACGAAAAACCTTACTGCATTGTTTGGGACTAACATTCTAAAGCATCCTGCAAAATCGTAGCTCCTGGTGTGCTGACAATCACAAGAAAAGTATTTTTCCAAAACTGGTCGGTCGACGAGCGTTGGAGGAAACTGGCTTTTTTCAAAAACTGTTCTAAATTTTTCATGTTTAGTTATTCTGACTTTTCTTTGGAATTGATTACACACCTGTAAAATGGTACAAGCCTGCTTGGCCCTGCTAGACTGATTCTCTGACCTTACAATTCCCATTGCTCTGTTTCATCTTAAGTGGGGTCAGGGAAACAGACTACAAGAATATGATAGGTTTTCGTGGTTTTTCCAGCATCTACAAGCCCAAAACGTGAAACAAGTCAGTTTAACAATATTTTCTAAAACATACCAGTCCTCCAAATCCATTTATTTCTGAAAATTGAAGTAAAAGCAAATGCTGTACATTCCCTTTAATTGATTAAAAAAAAAAGAAATGAGAAGTTTTTTTCCGTGGGAGCGACAGGAATTTCAAGAGGATTGGTGAAATCTAGGCTGTTTACCGGATTGTTTTGAAATGTCCACTGGATGGTAGGCTTCGGCGAGCCTTGCCCTGCGCAGGTCAAGTCAAAGGCTCTGCCTTCGATGCTGTTCAGGTTTCGCTGGGGTGCATCGGTCATTTCAGCCGGGATTGCTAAAATTGTGTTAAAAATGAAGAGTTAGACAACAAAGAAACAGTTGATCAATAATACATCAATGTATTGCACTACGTTATTGGATGTTACAATATTGATATATTACAATTTCATACTTGAATGCAACATCTTGCATGTTCAAAGTGTTTTGGGTAAACTGGTGATTCAGGTGATGGAGAGATTTATTTAATATAATGTGAGGGGTTCTGGTAAAATGTCACAACACTGAGCAGAGGCCGAAATGAGGGTTTGCAGGTCTTAGGAAAGAGAATAAAATGCTTCTTACAATACTGTTTGTTGCACTTCAACTGGACATTCCATTGACAAGTTATGGCTATTTAAATATCACACTGATCGAAATGTCAAAAAGTAAAATACTGAGAAAAAAGGGCCTTTTACGTTTCTATTTTTGTATTCGTAAAATGAACAATGCCAATTGTTTTTCAGTAAAAAACATCTTAAATTCCATGATTTGCTATACTATCTGTTATAAAGTATATGTAGTAGACATACATGTATCAAAGATTTCAAGTATCATTAAATCAGAAAATAGAGGGAAAAAAATTGCATTTTCTCCACTACGAACTGTGCCCATTTTCGTCTCTTTTGCAAACAAAAAGGAAATGCTACAGAATGGCTGTACATATATGTTTTTGGCTCATTATTCCATTTTTTACAGTGTTGGGATTTGCATAGAATCATATCTAATCTTGAGGTTTATAATTGTGATCATATTGTATCATGCCATCGTTTCAACCCACATATTGACAGCATCAGAAGAGCACAATAAATTGGGCAGTGTTTTCAGATTTGGATAGAGTTGGGTTTCAAGATAGAGTTCACTGAATAAGAAGAGGCTTACATTCCACATTGACGAAGCCACTGGCGAATATCTCGCCATACTCGTTGGATGCTACACACACGAAGACGGCGCTATCCTCCGTAATGGCATTTGCTAATTCTACCCTGCCCCCTCCGATACCCTCGGTGATGGTGAGACGAGGATTGGCCTCTTCATGCAAGGAACGGGGGGAAAAAAGGTGAAAAAGGTTGTCGTTCAGATGCATAACAAATAATTTATGGTGAGACACAAATAAATACAGATTGATTAATGAATTAAAATAGCAACCCCTTTCCTCCCCGTGGCCTTACAATACGTGTGCCTGAAATGTCCGATTAGGTACACCACCTGTCTTGGGAGCAACATTGAAATTGCCCAGTTGGGGACAGTAAGAGATCACCTGACTGGACACAACGTGCGATTGCCCTATACGAAACAAAATGCGATCTCCTGATTAGAAACAGCTTGAGATTGCCTAATTGGGAACAAAATGAGATCTTCTGATTAGAAACAGATTGCCCAATTAGGAATATGATGCGATCTCCTGATTGGATGCAAAATGATGCTGCCCAATTGAGAACAAAATGAGTTATCCGGATTAGTATTAACATGACATTGCCAAATTGGGAACAAAATGACGTCTCCCGATTGGAAACAGCATGAGATTGCCCATTCAGGAAGAAAATGAGATCTGCTGATAACCAACAGCTTCAGATTGCCCAATTGGGAGTAAGATGAGATCTGCTGATTAGAAACAGCTTCAGATTGTCCAATTGGAAACAAGATGAGTTCTCTTGATATGAGACAGCAACGGATTGATGAATTGGAAATCGCATCAGATCACCTAGTTGGAAACAGCATGAGACCATGCAATTGGGAATACCATGGGATCACTTAACCCATTAAAACTTTTGTTACAGTGTACTACACTGCAGTAACTCATTGATGATATCCACAACACCATCTACAGTGCTATAGCAGTTTTGGACAGTTAAAGGAATAACAGGCATGGCTCTTTTGGGTGGTGCAGGGGCTAGTGGGTTAATAACCCTGATGCGGGTAGCCGTTTTGTCGGAAGTATAATGATCCAGGTCAAGATCCAGATACAGAATTGAAAAAAAAAAAAACTCCTACAGGCCTCAAGCAAAATGCATAGTGTCCCTATGACATAAAAGGCATCATGGACAGCATCAGGTGGCATATTAACCTCAATAGACCAAAGACTTAAAGACCAAAGGGCTGTTTGCATATGGGAGCAGAGTCGGCCAGACAAAGTAGGGACCGCCTGCCAACCGTCTGTCAACAAAGCATGACATCATTAGGTCTTTGGCCTTTTGAAATACACGTATTAAAGTGACAGAGTGAAAAGCTTGAATGCCAGGCTGATACAGAAGTTCATCAAGTTATGGGATCTATGTCCATATGTTTTTCTAGTGAGAGTGTTGGGCACGACAATAAAATAAAGCCAGAGTCCATCATTTGCAGCTATCCACAAACTAACTGACGTAATTATTGTTGAAAAACATACTTGGTTGAAAGATAGTAAGGGGACTAAACTCCCTGTGAAATTATTCTTCCTGGCAAGCTGTCATTTTGAAGAAATCAGCGTTGACAAGCAAGCGTTGACAAGACGCACACGCGCGTGGCTGCTATAATTCGTCGGATCGGTGCACGACATCGCGTAGCTGCAATCTGCTCAGTGAGAACGTGTTTCTGACGCTGAATTCAGGCCCAATTCAGAACATGATTCAGCAACTTTTGATTTGAAATCGAGATCCTAGAATGTTGTTTTTCTCCAAATATACAGCTGAAGCTGTGCTGAAACTTTATCAGATTCGTTGTTCAGCACCCTTCTTTAGATTTTGAGTACTTTTGTTGCTTCAAACGAACAAAATGCACTAATTACAAATGATGGACTATACCTTTAACTTTTTGGGGGATTTTGTGGCACTTTGAAGATTATTTTATTACAAATTGTGCAACAGTACAGCCTAGTCATCAGTTGCAATGTACAATGTAGTATGTTTATAAACAATTTCGGACAATATTGTCCTCTTCAACTCACCTGCCTCTTTATAGGGCACACCGTTAATAAGCCAGGTTACCATGGGAACCGGGATGCCCTCAGCTGAGCAATCTAACACACCGCCCTCATTGATCACAATGTTTGTGTCCTCTGGTTTGTTCTCCCAATATGGTTTTGCTGAGAAGAAAGTGCAGAACATCCTTAAATTGATATTTGTTCAGGGGAAAAATAGTTGGGTTATCTGTTACAGCTAATTTTGAAAGTGGGTAGCCGTGACATTTGTGTGATTTCATGAGGTCATCAAAATCGCGAATTTTTGTTTTTTATCAACAAAATACGATCATCAAGGCTTTTGGTGTCCTAAAATGACAAATATGTAGTGAGGTCATGACGACGTCATCATTGACTGTTTTATCATTATTAGTATTCTTTATTACAAATGGACTGCAAATGCTATTTTTCTTACTCCAGGTTTCTCCAGTTTTATTTGTACACAATAGTTTGTCTATGTTCGTGCCATTAATGCATCACCCCTTCCCAACGGGCGAGTCAGCAAAACCACCTTGTTTTTCTTGTTCTGAATATTAAATGCTATCAAACCCAAGTCCAGGGAACACTTACACTTTACAGTGACAGTGATGGTGAAAGCGGTAGGGGTACCACCTCCGTTGCTAGCCGTGCACGTGTAGGAGCCAACGTCTGACGCCATTACATCACTGATGACCAGTTCCTGGCCATAGCTCTCATAGGTCGTGCGATCGACAGGCAGCGACTCGCCGTCTTTCGCCCAAGTGATATCTGGTGTTGGACTGCAAAGAATTAGGACACTCAAATTCACCGTTCGAAAAACGCCAAAGCTGTGTCTTTGTATGAAGATATGGTTCCCAAATACTGGCAGCCCAACCTCGCCCTAGGGTGTCGAGCAGTACGTGCCCACCACAACCTGCTCTCTTACCCTGGTATTGGATCATTTGCATGTGTAAGATTTTTGAACACGTAGGCCTGTGCAAATGAAGAATAGTCTGGTGCCTGCATGTGCGTTACATTAGTGTTTGTTTTTGTATGCGGTGTCTGGGTTAAAAACAACATCATTTCGTCGTTTCATATTAATATGAGCAAATTGGAAAGGAAAGGAGCATTTTTGAGAAGGCGTGGACGTTATAATTACGATGATCGTGAAAACACGTCATGCACGTTGGAAATAACAACACCAAAACTACACGATTTAAATCCACTACTAGCAAATTGCGCTATCGAATCAGAATACAGAAAGAAAGTGTCATATCCGGGGCTTACTATTGGAAACGAGGTTATAAATAAAGTAAGCACTGAGGACGACTGGCAACCCTGTATGCTGTACACTCGTATACCCCCGCCCTGCAAACAACCTGACGCTGGGAAGGGCTGATGAATTTACGATCTGATTGGACAGATTTTGCGTGACCTGTGTCCTGCAAGTCATCACGACCACGACCCTGCAAGGTTTCAAACGGCCGTTAAGACTGATTCATTACTCTTTTATTCCAATTCATGAATATTTTTGTTTTCGTTGAAAAGCGTAATAATGTAATCTGTTATACTTATCTGTGTTGTAAATTTGCAATTCCCGTCACTTGCTCAGGCTCCGTTTCGAATTCACGAAGGGTCAATGATTGCATTATGCGACGCTCAAAATGTTTGCACATGGTCCGCAATGAAAAAGAAATCACATCCGGCATGGAATATGTGCATTTTTTTATGAGAAAGTTTTCGGATAGCATTGTGCATGCGCGCATTGGCTAATTGCGATCTGAACAGCCGCAGTCAGATACTTTATACATAGGTCATGGTAAATTACCCAGGTTGACCTCTTCCTTGACAAGATTCTGTAAAACTCATGAACACTTCCCAGCGTCATGTTTGCAGGGCGGGGGGGGGGGGGGGGGGGGGGGGCCGAGCGGAAGCTAATTTCTGCGCAATTGCCTGGCACACGAGGGCGCTGTTGTCATGCAGTCCAGGGTTGCACATCAAAGGAACCTCGGGGCATTTCCAAGCCAACGCCTTTTCTCCAGCTTCAACGTTTTGAGGCCGTGAATCTAGGGAACTCTGGCCCAATTTTCTTCCTCGGGAAAATCCAATCATTTGAAATGGTACCAACACACTTGTCTGTCAATTTGACTTAGGCATACTTGCACGTAAATTCTGGAACCAGAAAATCGCAGCATTTCGTAACGGCAGAGCTTAACAATTACGTCAAACAAGTTTTTCCACGCATTAACTCACAATAAGGACGTGTCATACCCGAGAAAATATCACAAATTGAAAGCTCATCTATATGCAGAACCTGTCTGCAGAAAGTGGCTGCTCACATTATGACATCTCAGTGGAGCTCTTGAATATTGAAATTTACATCACCAACTTCTAACAACTCATTCAAAATTGATCGTCAATGCGCAGCATTTCATACACCCATGCCTTGTCATTCTGACATTTCTTAGGCGGACAGGCTAAATACCCCCTGTTCACTTACCGGGAGCCGCTTTCAATGGAGCCCCTCTTTTATCGGCTCCCGCTTGAAAAGAAAGCGGGTGACCTGTTTCTACAAACCGTCCCACGGTTGGCACTCCCGGCTCCCGCTACAAATAACCATTTTTGTAACAATGAATCCTGCGGTTTCATACCCGTCAGTGGCGGCTTCTACTCACCGACCGCAAAGACCTGGTACATTGCTAATCCTCTGATCTTTTGTCTGCCCTAAACATACAAGCCCCACTGCAAACCGTTACCATGCACGGCTGTACCGTGTGCGTTCATGCGTGGACCGTCTCCCGCTTTGGCTTGAAGGGTCCCACACTTCCTCAGTAACAATACCGTCCCACGGTAAATGAACAGGGGGTATTTAGCCCGCCCGCCTTAGGAGTCTTATCTCATTAACCCCAACAGAACTCAACCCGTTAAACCCCAACAGCGTGTTTTATCTGGGACGAGACGCGGACAAGTTTATCCACAATAGACACACTGTATTGGGTTCAAGTTAAGTTGCAGGATATGAAACAATTCTGTTGTAGAAAATGCTGTAACTTTACAGGAAGATTCTGGGGAAATAGTTCCACAATATTGACCCTATTGTGGATATATTTTGTCCGCAAAAGATTCCGGATATTTAATGATTACTTCTAAGAAGAGCAGTTTCAAAGTAAACAGCAGAGGGAATTGATTGGGGCTAATTATTATCCCATGTCAACACTTACTATCCTTCGGCCATGCATTTCAGACGAAGCTTCTCCCTGCGGAAGGCATCCACTGAAGCTGGCGGAGTGTAGACAAATGTGGCCGGCCTGTGTTCAATGTGTTCAACTACAGAGTGAGATAGGAATAAAAAAAATACCCCAAATGATCATGTTCTCACAAAACCTTTTGAATTTGACTTGAGAATACTGCTCCATGGACCATTATTATGTTGCAGCCATCTTTATTTTTTCAAATTAACGTAATAGCGAGGCTGGAAGGGAAAATAATCTGGTTCCTTTTTGAGCAAAAATCATTATCATCCAGTACTGTTATTTGATTCAGGGAACATGACTAAAATGGTTGCAGCATAACGAATGTCTATTTAGCCCACAAAACATGCTGCGATATTCGCAATGCATCTTGGGTCTGGATCAAAACCAAACTAGGCAATTTGTGCACAAAGCTACGGGGTTGAGTCACTGATCTCTATATAAAGACTGGATAGCGGATATGCATACAACATTCACACAGTAGACTTTGCATATTGACCAATTCGCCCCCGATCTCACGAAGATGGCCGCGTATAATACGAACGTTCTACGCGTAAATACGCGCGCGTTGTATCAACAGTTGACGGGCATTTTGGTCACGTACACATATTATGATGTTCTAAAAGGAACACATTTCCGTAGTGATTATTATTTCAAAACGCCGAAAAAGTTATATTTGCAGCATTTTAGTAGCCACGACGTTAGAAAAATTGTAGTTAACCTTGGTCAGTGGTGGTGATCAAAATATAAGTCAAGTGAACCGCGACGTTACAAAACAAATCATGCTGTCTAAAAAGACGGCAACTTGTCCTTTGTAGATCACCAGCCGGTCTCACCAATATGGCGTTAAATTCGTTCATTGTGCGGCTCTTTATTAGCTATCCAGCACCCGATTTCATCAAACTCTTCGTAACTTACGATGCATCGCAGCGATGCGAAGCGTCGTATCTCTACGATGCGTCGCAGCTGCGACGCATCCTGCGATCCATTTCACTAAACACGTCGTAAGTGCGACGCGTCGTAGGTGTATTTATAGCACAACTCGGTGACTGTTTTATGTCTTTAGTCAGCGTACAGTAAATAGTCGTCTGATATTAAACAAAGAGTCGTCGGATCTCGGCTCGAAATTTGTTAAAACGTATAACAAAATGGCGGCCGTGCGATACAATTTTGAAGGAAAACAAGCTCTCATTGGACTGTATAGCTACTTTGAAATTTCAACTCTAATATTCCGGTCTAATTCATAATTATTCAATGAATTTTCTATTTACAACTTTACACACATTGCCTCGTCATTATAATCTCGTTAATGTAATGTTTGTGGCATAAAACTGGCTTAGAAATGACTCTTCTTATTTTGCGATGACCACTAGACACATCGTAACTTGCGACGTGTTTTAAGCCGTTGTCAAGGAACTTACGACGCGTTCAACACATCGCAACTTTAGTGAAATGGAAGATACGACGCGTCGCGAGTTGCGACGTGTTACACGTCGTAACTTGAGTTGCGACGCGTCGCAGCGCTTCGTGAAATCGGGTGCTGTCTTTATATAGAGATCAGTGGGTTGAGTACCAGTTCCAACTTTCAATTGATTCCTCCTCATTTTGTTTTAAGAATTGAGTGCTAATCTTTCCACACATTGTTGCATTGGTGTTTTGAAATTTAATCATTGCAAAAATGATTCTGTAAAGCCTATTAGAATACAGAGAGTTTTTGGGTATCCCTTTTTGAGACCAGTTTCGTTTCTCATGAATATTAATATCATGACCCTGCTAATATTGACAAATCAGAATCAAGATGTGAAGCTCGACCCTCCAACACTGACCAATCACGACTGGTCCACTGGGCCTAATGACTGGTATCCTGAAATATATTTAAACATTATTTCTAATTTTATTTCTTAAATTTAAAAACCTGACTTTTATTAAGTTTGTGCATTGCGTGTTATCCATACCAATGATGTAATGCGAATGTACACAAAGGTTTATTGTTGCAGGTTTTGAAAAGGCAAGTGCATTGTTGTTTCCGATGATAACCTCTGGGATGGGGGTCAACTAATTACATGATGTAAAAACAATAAATGCAGAAATACATGTACTAGGCTACTGCTCTGTGGTGAAACAGTTAGGGCTCTTTAACACAAAATTCTGGGCGATGATAATGCGAACAATGGTGGGGGATTACAAAGGGGACAGTAATTATCTCTAGTGGAGATCAATGTGTAGGGCCCCTCCGAGAGCCGAGAGAAAGTTCTAGAACCCCCCCCCCCAAAAAAAAAATAGTCCTTCCCCTTATTCTTGCCTCATGTGCTTTCCCCATGGTCATGTGGCTAGCACATGCTCACTTTTAGCCTGTACAGCTGGTCAGCTGGGCAGTGACCCAGTTGCCATGGTCACTTCCTTCTGATTGGCTAAGGCACCCAGCAGGAAATGGAACTTCACCCCCTTTGTTCACCTTGGCTGTGACTCAAGCATTCCTTGATGAGCAGCTAATAAATAAAGTCCATCTTCCAGTTTTATGCAACATATTCATGTGTGCATAACTTTTGCTCATTTTTTCAGGTATGTTCATTTCATTTCTATATCTCATATTTTAGACTTAGTTGCATTTACTTGATTGTAGAATTGATACTTTATTGTCTTTTAAGAACCAAGTGATTTTTGGTTTAACATTTGGCTTGAAAGAAACCCGAGCAACTTGAGAAGTGTTGAACTTTGATTTGTGTTTTTCTGAAACTTCCCAAATGATGGTTTCACTGGAAGCAGGACAAAGATTTGGAATATAGTTCTGGAAAGTTTGAGGAAGTTTACTAAGTTTTCAGTAGAAGATGCTAGATGTTTGATTGAGTTTAAGAACCTTTCAGAAAGCTGATATGTTGTCAGAGATGCCAGATTATTGAGTTGATGAGAGCAATTTCTCAGACTTTGAAGGTATTTCTAGGATGTTGAAGAATGTGTTATTTAGTAACTCTTCCACTTGTTCTGAACTTTGTGGAAAGGTTGAATTTATTGCTTGCCATAGCCACTTTTCTGATAAAACTTAGTAGAGTTTGACCATGCATTTTATATTGCAAGTATGTGGCTATACTTTAGTATATTGGACAGGAAATGGTCCAAGCAGTAGATTAGTCACGCATTCCAGGAACCAAGCCCTAGCCCATTATTATTCAGGCAAAGGGTAGAAGGGACAGGATGTGCCTATGTGGTTCACGGGTCAGTGACCACAAGCTCTGGTAGTGATAAGAAGTTGTTTATCTTTTACTTTAAGCATGTTTATGGCAGCGGCTGCAACTTCTTACTGACAAAACCACATGAAAACTAGTAGGGCCAAGAAGACCTATTTTTCTTGTGCATATTTAATGAGGCTTACTTCACTCTTTATTTGGGTTAAGTGTTAAGTGACTTTTGCAAATTGACTCAGTGAAGAAACAAAGTATAGATTAAGGATTTATGTGAGCATTGCATTTGGTAATTGTGTTTCTTTAAGATAAGCTGATGTAAATCCAGCCATACTTATATACAAATATGTCTTGCTTCAAGTAGATATAGTTTCATTTCTTTTAGACTGAACATGATTGTTAGGTAGACTTTTTGAATGTTAAATTTTGTTTGATAACTTGTTATTGCAATCAAGGTGTTGATTGCATCATGGAAGCTTTCCTTGATGAGCAGCTAACGAATAAAGTCCATCTTCCAGTTTTATGCAACATACTTATGTGTGCATAACCTTTGCTCATTTTTTCAGAGTTGAAACCTACCCCGAGCGGGGCAGGCCTACAAATGGGAACCGTTTACACTAAGTGTGTACATAGAACTAGGAAGAGTGTTACAACTGATAATGTAGTAACCAACGGATAATGTATCACCAACCGATAATGTTACACAAATTGACCGATACTGTATCACTAACCGATAATGTAACAGAAATTGACCGATAGTGTAGTAAATGTTACTACACTATCAGTCGATTGTTGTTACATTATCCGTCTTAACCGATAATGTAACAAATATTGACCGATACTTGTAGTAACATTTACTAAACTATCGGTCAATTTCTGTTACATTATCGGTTAGTGATACAGTATCGGTCAATTTGTGTGACATTATTGGTTGGTGATACATTATCCGTTGGTTACTACATTATCAGTTGTAACAAAGAGCAATACGCCGCTGCGCCACATATGTTGATTTTCAATATTGATTGCCATTTTTGCGTTTTCGTTAGCAATTCTGTGTAAATCGGCCCTTAGAGAGAGAGAAAAAAACCTGTAATACCTGCCATGACCACAACCTCCTTGACTGGGGACAAGAGCTGCAGTCGCGTCTTCTCGTTCTTGACGTTACACTGGTAGTTGCCGGTATCCGTCGTTTTGATGTTAGAGAACCGCAGGTTGAAGTTGGGGTCGATGCTGACGCGGTTGTTCAGGGGAATGTCGTTGCCGGGATTGGCATCGTCCGTCCAGAAGATAGAGGGAAGTGGCACGCTGTCCGGCTGGTTGCAGGAGATGGTGGCCACGTCGCCCTCGCGAAAGGTGTAGGTTTTCTTCACCTTGTCTACGAATGCATCAGTGACTGGGGGGATCAGAGATGAAAGGTTTACGTTTTCCACAATTGGCAAAACTATAGCATTGTGAATTGTCTAATACACATATTAAAAGGTCTTGGCCATTGCAAACCCATTAGTTGGGTTCACAGAGAAAAAGTTGAGTTTTGGGCGTGGGTATGTGTTCTTCCAACAGTGAATTTGGAGCAAACAAATTTTGAACCAAAGCTCCGCTCAGTATTCGAAGTTGACAAAATAAGTTCACTCAGCTACATCTTGCCCAGCTAACACATTGATGTTTTAGTAACGTGGTATACATGTTATGTCTAATGTTATACTCATACTCCAAAAAAGGAAGCATGACAGAAAATAGGTGTTTGTGTCTCTCGCCACAGCTTCAATTTAATCAACGTTATTCAACCGGAATACCAAAGCTTAAGGGCAAACCAGATAGCACTAAAGTACGGACCGATAGTCCAAACAGTAACACATGAAACATTATTTCAATTTTAATCAACGTTAATATTCCGGATTACCAATACAGGCAAACCGGATAGTACTACATTTGTAAATCACTAAGCACGGACCGGTAGTCCGAACATTAATAATTAGGCGGTACCCATGACTACCATCACTCCAATTGTAACAAAAAGAATGTGATACCCAAGACCACAATGACAATAGTGATACCCAGTGACCACTATCACCTACAACGGCCGTTGTGAAAGAATTAAATCGAGTAAACAACATAGGTGCTCCAATTTATGCACTAGGTTTTGATTAAAGACCAGTGCCCCTTTGAGGGTTAATCCAACATGTATCAAAATGTATTGCACAGTCCCCACATTTGGCCCATGTAGTGGGGGTATAGCCCGTGTGGAACTACACAGGCTATAGATTCTAGAATAACATGTTTGTCATTATGTTTGACCTCCACATTGGTTATTAAACTGGATCAGCCCGTGTGGATACAGCACAGGGCACAATAAGTTTAGTTAACTTATCAAATTTTCCATCACAACCAATACTTATGGAGCTCGGCCTCTTCTGGGGCACCAATAAATGCCAAGAAAAATCATGTCAGTAACAAAAAACACAATGATGGACTAGCAAAAAGTGCCCCCCTCCATTATACCAAGGAGGAACGTTAGGGGAGGAGGCGGGAACATTATTTCAATCAAACTTTAATGTGGATTGCTTGAAGCCGTGACATAAAATGCGGATCCCGTGACTGGATCGGCAACATTCGCGTTCCATCTGAAACGCATTACGCCGATTGGCTGCCACCGTAATATGCCTGCAAAATTGCAGACGGCACGCAAGCAATGCTTTGCTCGCATTGGCTGCCCCAGGATGTTCTCAGGATCCCAATTAGCATGCGGCCTGCCTTAAAGGGACACTGGGTCCTGGAACAGCCCAATTGGGCTACAAAACGCGCTTTGAATAAGATGATGATAATCGGAAATAACATTTAAAAGTAGGATATAAACATCCACACAACTATCCTTTCAAAACTGGGCGTTTTTGTGTTATTCCTGTATTATGCGTGCGAGAACGAATTTCGGGGTCCACTTTTGCGAACCCATAAATTCGAGCTGTTTGGATACTAATTGTGATTTCATTCGTACGCGTAGTGTTCACCCTTTGCGGACGTTGAAGAAACCGCAAATTGTTGCATTGGTGATTGGTCACCGCGCGCTGTTCCCGAGACACACAACGTGTATAGCGTACACTGAGAACGACACGAAAACGTATTCGTACTCCGTCATGTCCGATGTAAACAAGCGGGTTTTTTTTCGTCTTTTCTCGGGAACGGTAAGACAAAAGGTTGGTTTCCTTTCAACCAGATGTTTGAAATAGGCTAGGTAAACAATCCAAAACATAACATTTTCGGAGATAGGTTTTTGCGCTGAGTAAAATAAATTTTACCATTTATGTGGTAAAATGTGTTGTCATGACATTTTGCAATAATGTTATGGCGACATGGTCTATGTAACGTTTTAACGACATCCTGACATTTATATAAAACGTTTGTGTGCTGTTTTTATTACGTTATATTGGCATTATGCTACCCTGCGCGCGAGCCCCTTTAATTGTTTCTTAACTTTTTGTATGAAGCTATCGCCCAATTCCCTTGAAACTACATGTAATCATAAAGTGAACCTTGTGGTTTGAGATGGTATGGTCGCTTTTCTTGTAGGAGTTCATTTTGGGGTCAGCCGCCCCTGGGAAAGTTGGCCCTCCAGCCAAAGCCCATTCACTTGTGCACAAAAAAATTCTTTGTGTTTTACCGCCTAGTTGAGGGCCGTCACAACAATGTCGTCTTCATCCTCTACTGCTGGCTTAGTGACAGCTGTCTAGAGCCACAGAAAGGTCATCCGTCTGTACTGATGCTGTCTCGACTGTTTGATGTCCATCTTTTTGGGGGGATCCAACATGTAATGGTTGATCCAACATGTAATGGTCACAGTGCATGCAGTGTATATGTACATGACTGTGCAGCAACAATGTCTGTGAGTGACCTACTGGAGGGGATTCAATCTTGTGTGGGTTCGGGGGACCTGCATAATAATATTTAGACCATTAGAGAAAGGATTGTGTCCACAAAAAGTATTTTGTACGCGAAATCAAAACTGCCTCACGTGAGCACCTCAGGGCCGAGTGTAATTTTTTACGCTTCGCCACTCGCAGAGTTAACGACATCCTGACATTAATGTAAAACGTGTGTGTGATGGTTTATTAGTTATATTGACATTATGCCTTAACATCAAAATAATAACAACAGATGTTGTCGTGACATTTTGCAAAAATGTTATGGCGACATGGTCTTAGAAACATTATTACTTCGTTAAACATTATAATAACATTACTTGGACATTTTGCAGAAACGTTGTGAAAACAAAATAATAACATCACCAAGACCATGTCGCTATAACATTATTGAATAACATTAAGGTCTTAACGTTCAGATAATGTTACATGCACATTTTTAAGAAATGTTGTGAAAACATAATAATAACATCACCAAGACCATGTCGCTATAACATTATTAAAGTAACATTATTTAATGTTACGTGTAAATTTCAGCGGAATATTGTTGAAACATAATAATAATTTTTTTCAGACCATGTCGTCTTAACATCATTAGGATACGTCCAAACGTCACGTTATTACGTAAGTTACGATGGATACTGATGTTTGAACTGTACCAAGTGTTTATACAGCGATCGAGTCTTTGCATTGCCATTCCCACTTCGTTCCTGCAATCAATCGGTTATGTTAGCAATGTCCAAGGTCCCTGAAATTCAATAAATATTGGTTATCATTAAAATACATGTAATTAGTATCGTGCCTCTCGACCATCATAATCTGTAGTCACAGTTTGCACGTAAAAATATTTAATTTGCTACGTTTTGCTTGTTTTTGGCAACTGTATTTCTGTGAGACTTTGAATAGCTAAATATTATAACACCCCAAAACAAACCGCTATTACGCAAAACGTATCGTTCATGGCCAAAAAGCGGCACAATTGCTTCACCAAGGTTTACCACGCCCACCTCGGGTCAACATGTAAATTAAGGTCACAGTGAAATTATTTATGTTAATACAACATCATCACAACGTTGTACGTATGAACGTCACAATTATGTTGTCATGTAGAAGACCGTCGTACATCATTGCCACAACGTTTACAGCATTTACCAAGCAGTGTTAGAACATCAAAATAGATCATGATACAATTTGATGATCATTATGTCAATAAGTTTACAACAAACTCATTGATTGTCTCGTTATTAACCTCGTTAGTTTAAAATGTAACATTTTAAAACAGGGATACAGAAAAATGAAATTAAAATGTTGATGCAACCTTATAATTGCAGGAACGAAATATGGGAATGGCGTTGCATAGATACTGATTCCAACACTGTACCAACTCGAGCAAGTTCAGACGTCAGTGTCAAACGAGAACTACAATATAGCGTATGGTTTGAATTTTTTTCATAATGTTATGGCGACATGGTTTAAAAATATTATTATTACACTGTAACGACATTTCAGTGAATTGTGCGCGTAACATTATTTTAATGTTAAGGCCTTAATGCTATCTAATAATGTTATAGCGACACGGTTTGGGAGAAATGTTTCCATGACATTCCTGATTATTGTGCGCCTAACGTTATCTTAGCATTAAGGCATTATGTAATAATGTCATAGCGATATGGTCTTCGTAATGCTATTATATGACACAGTTCAGCAGCAATCTTTGAGGAAAGTCGTAAGAACACAATAATGTTCCTTAGACCATGTCGCCATAACATCTTTACAAAATATCACGACAACTTTAATTGCCATTAAGTTATTAAATGATCTTCAAGCATTATATCAGTATAACGTAAAGAAAACATTGGACAAATGTTTTCTATTAATATCAGAAATGTGTCTTTAAAACGTTTTCTAAGACCATGTCAACATAACATTATTGAAAAATATCATGACAACATTGGACATGACGTACACGTATTCCACGTCATTAAAACATCTGGGCAAATCTTGTTTAAAAGATTTGGTAATATATAACATTTCGATAATATCGCTTTAACATACCTGTTGAAACATCAGTGTTGGGGAAATTAAATCACGTTATTAAAATGTTTGGTTTTGTACATATCATATTTCATTCTAAAATTTTGTTTAAAACATTTGGTAATAACGTTCGATAATTTCACTTAACGTATCTGATAAAAAGGTCATATTATTTGCGGCAAATATATCACGTTATTAAAATGTAATTTGGTAAAAAACGTTTTGATAATGTCGCTTTAACATACCTCATAAAAGGTCAAAATTTGAGGCATTTGAATTACGTTTTCAAAACGTTTTAGTTATGTCATGAAATTTCCTCCATAAATCTTTTTTTTTCAAAACATTCGGTAACAACGTTTTGATAATATTGCTTTAACATACCTGATAAAACGTCAGATATGAGGCATTTAAATCACGTTATTAAAATGTTCTTGCATAATATCACCGTATTTCATCGATCAATCTTTTTAAAACATTTGGTAAAAAAGTTTTGATAATATCGCTTTAACATACCTGATAAAACGTCAAATTTGAGGCATTTTAATTACGTTTTCAAAACGTTTTTGTTATGTCTTGAAATACCTCCATAACTTTTTTTTTTCTCGAAACATTCGGTAATAACGTTTAAAAAATATTGCTTTAACATACTTGATAAAAGGTCAAAATTGAGGCTTTCAAATCACTTTTTAAAAATATTTTGTATATATCATGATAATCAATTTTATCGACTGAACGATAAAATATCTTACACGCATTACGAATGTTTTTTTTGTTAAATGATTTATTGGAGATCATGAATAATGCATTAATGAGCGGATTGGCTAGCCCAGCAGCAACGTGGTTAGACAGAGGCAAGGTGTGGGCTGTTGTCACGTGGAGAAGACCACTTCGTTGCAGTAACTGAATGTGGAAACATCGTTATCGCTTTTCTCCTGTTCATCTTCAAGTTATACTTCGAATTTATCCGAAGTTATCTTCGAATTTCTTAAAGTAGTTCGTTGTCTGGTTGAAGTTGGATCTCATCAAGTAACTTCCAAGAATGCCTAAATCCACCCGGGTATCAGCTCCAGCTGCGAACAGGATGGATGCCGGCATTGGCAGGAGGCAGCGCGGGAGACCCCGTACACGGGCCACGCAGTCTGGGGTGAGGGCACGTCGTGTTCGGATTGACGATGTGCCGACGCCGGTGGTCAGAAGTCAGCATCCGGCGTTAGGACAACCGGAGCTGCCGATCGAACCTGCACCAGGACCGAGTGGATCTGAGAGCCAACAAGCAAGGCGGGGTGAGTCTGGGGTGTCATCTTTGCCTGCAATGAACATTAATCACGCTTCTTTTTGCGAGCCAGCCACGACTGGCTCACTAGATAGTAGTGGTATTATTAATAGTTCTAGTAATTTTGCACGGGTTGACGGTTCCGTCTCCCAGCTTGGCGATATTCGGCCTGTACCGGCCCCAGCCATGCCAGCACTTGAGCAAAATTTGTATAGGCCCGACCCGGTCTTTTCAGGCCAGGGCGAGGCTCCGTTAGGGTTTCAAGTACCCATTGGGGTTAAAGAGGAAATATGGAGTGGGATGTACATAGATCTTTCCTTACTTTTTCATGATCCGGCCGCGACTTCTCTGGTGCAACCAAGTGATAAAAACTTAAAGTTAGCGCTCGAAAATATGGAGCTATTGTTTGCAAGCCTGAGTTTCCTAAAAGGAAACTCGATACCATTGACAAATGGCTCACTGCCTTTCACACCTTTACGGCCATTTTTGCGGTGCGCCACCCTCTCCGGGTAGGCGAATTGCTCAAGTACGCGGAGACGGTGAGGATGGCTGCCTCCCAATTTAGCGGCTTAGGATGGCGCGCGTATGACGAGCAGTTTCGTCTGCGCCAAGAAGCTAATCCGAGCCGTTCCTGGGGGGCCATTGACATGGAGTTGTGGGTTACGGTAGCAGCCGCTGCCGTACTCGCCAATTCCACTCCATCTGCACCACCTAGTTCTGGTGCCACTTTTGCGCATCGTTCATCCAAGGCGGTGGTTTCTGCTTCGTCTTTAACCAGGCGAAGGGTTGCCACTGGGCGAAATGTAAATTTGTAAGTTGTAACCGTTTTGGCCATGGAGCGCTAACTTGCCGTGTAGGTTTTTTGAGCCGAAACGGCAGCCCTCTTCAGGGACAGTGGCGTCACCAGACTTTTCAGTCTGGGGGGGGGGGCACAGGGGGGGGCACCAGCATTTGATGGGGGGGGGCACTTAGGTGGATACGGATCGCTGTCCTGGGGGAGGGTCCCCTTTGGAAAATTTTCGCATACGGAGGATGGGCTAGATGCAAAATGGTGCCACATTTGATGCTAAATTCGATCTGAAGATATCTCCAGAACTTGCTATTTTTGAGGTAATGATTTTAACAACGCGCAGAATTTTGCAGAGGATAGGGGGGTACCAGCATTTGATGGGGGGGGGGGCACTCGGGGGGGGGGGGGGGCACTAGGTTTTCCAAGGGGGGGGGGCACGTGCCCCCCCCCCGGCCCCCCCTTGGCGACGCCACTGTTCAGGGATGACTTCTGCGCAGCACAAAACTGCTGGCGTAGCTAGTACTAGGAAACCCCCTCCGAAGGCTTCGCAGGGGGCTAGAGCCAGAGAATCGCGTGCTGGAGACAATTTTCGTTCCTCCAACCCCAATTAAGTTTGACATTTTAACCGAATGGCTTTCCGTTTTTCCCGATGTTAAAGCGGCGGAATTACTACGTGTAGGATTTTCTGATGGGTTTACTTTACATTACCTAGGTCCCCGTGTGTCGCGTGAGGCGAAGTGCCTTTCCTCCGCCTCACAACAGCCCAAAATAGTCATTGAAAAGATCAATAAGGAAATTAGCTTAGATCGCGTAGCGGGTCCCTTTGACAAACCCCCACTTCCCAATCTGCAGTGTTCCCCCCATCGGCTTGGTGCCGAAACAACAGCCCAACTCCTTTCGACTTATTCACCACTTATTCTATCCCGAGGGAACATCTATCAATGATTACATACACAAAGACAAATGTGTCGTACATTATTCAACTTTTGATAGGGCAGTAGAATTAGTCATGGAGGCAGGACCCAACGCCTGGCTGGCAAAATCGGACATAAAGTCTGCATTCCGTTTACTCCCAGTAGCCCCATCTGACTATGAACTACTTGGGTTTACGTTTCAAGGGTTGTATTACTATGATAGATGTTTACCGATATGCTGTTCCATATCTTGCTCTCTGTTCGAAACATTTAGTACTTTCCTTGAGTTCATGACCAAACAGATGGCCACCACATCGCTAATAACCCACTATTTGAACGACTTTCTTTTTGTTGGCCATTCTCTAAATGCATGTCACGATTCACTCCAACCTTTTAAAGTGTTATGTGCGCGTTTGTGGGTACCAATTGCTGAAGAGAAAACAGCGGGCCCATCGCAAACAATTACTTATCTAGGCTTAGATATAGACTCTCACCAACAGCAGGTTAGAGTTCCTGAGTTAAAGGTGCAGGCTCTTCGCCAACAACTTTCCAAGGCACTGCGTCAATCTAAGCTAACATTGGTTGAAGTACAATCCCTGGTTGGCTCCCTTAACTTTGTGTGTAAAGCGGTCGCTCCGGGACGTGCATTTCTGCGGCGAATCATCGCTTAACCCGGGGTTTATCTCAGCCGCATCACAAGGTGCGCCTTAATCACGGGGCTAAAATGGACCTCATGATGTGGCTTTATTTCCTTGACCATTTTAATGGGGTTTCTCCGTTTCTGACTAATGGCTGGGAGTCAAATGACACACTTGAGCTTTACACAGATGCCGCCGGTAGTATAGGGTACGGGGCGTACTTCAAAGGGAAGTGGTTTCCAGGGAGATGGCCCGAATCGATAGGTCAGTCACCTCTGTCTATAGCACACTTAGAATTCTATCCTTTGGTCGTAGCTGTTTATTGCTGGGGGTCATTTCTCGCAAATCGCAAAGTCATATTCCGCACTGAAAACAGCGCTGTAGTTCATGTAGTGATTAGAAATTATTTATTTGCTTTGCCTGTTAGGTCAAATGAGGGCGCTGTTTAAGTTAACTGGTCAAACTTCCGCGAATTTGTTGAGGGGTTATGAGGATATAGAAATAGTACGTTCATCAGCCAAGTAAGGGGATATTTTGACGATAATAGATAACTAAGGGGTTCTATCTCTCATGAAGTGCTGTATTCTCAGAAGTAAATTTCTGTTATTGTAAAATATGTGAATGTAGGATAGAGCAGATGATGTTTTTATCGTGTGCGCCTTAATACTAAACAACTGTTTACGTAAGCGGGTTTGGCGGGCACTGTCTCCGAGGTCTGCGTTTCTGACAGCTGCAGAAAGCTTGCTTTAGCAACTATTATCAGACCAATTTAGCCTGACAGCCGATGGCTGGAATGTATTGCTAGACACCAAAGGGAGGAGAGACAGCCCTGGAGCCCGTGCACTGGCTGGTATGGGACAAATTGAATTATTTTCATGTTATTTTGGGGGTTTTACTATCAACGAAAGTGTAACTTCCAAGACGCCGACCGGGTCAGAGGTCACATGTCATACATGTATGTTAATGTGGGAAGGCTGTTGTATTTGCAATGGAGTTCTTTGTATGGGTTGGACTATGTAATTTTCTAGGCTTAATTTATTACTTGTACTCATATGTATTGTGATTAATGGGATACATTCACATGTATGTGAAGTTATGTGAGTTTATATTGATTTATTTTTAATGTATTTGATTACTAGGTTTTTTTGTGATGAATGGGAGCAGAAACGACTAATAAATTTGATGTGATTGAATCATCACCCCTGAACCTCGACTCCACACCGAGTTTCACTACAAAATTGGTAACACGGATGGGGTGCTGAGTGCTGACCTAATGACCTGACTGAACGGGTAGACGGTGACGTGAGCCTAGCGTAGGAGAACTGCGGGGAATTACATGCGTTTGCTGGGGAGGCAACGTGGACGGATGCCGTAACAGTACCACTACCAGGGAGTCTGCAAGGGAACTACAGACAGTGGTTGCGGTAGGCAGTTTGGAGTCATACGCATGGACTGTGTCATGTTTACTCATACAGTTTAAATGTAAATCAGTAGTTACATTGTAGATTAGGTTGCCAGCAGTAAGTGGTCGTGATAACTGAAGAAACAAAAACAAAAACCAGCCAGTGCATTATCGGTTGAAAATATTGGGTAATCTGCCAGTTAATTGGACCTAGTTAATTTAGCCGTGTTGATTGTAGAAATATTTTAGGCTGACCTTGGATTTTCGCGTGGGGTTTTGTGTACCGCGTTTCTTGTGCTATGGCTGAGGCGGAGGCTGGCCTGGTTGAGCGCCTTGTTGCAGGCCTGACTGAGGCCATCAAGTCAAATCATAAGCCAACCACGCAACGAGCGATTAAATTAGCTAGGTTTAATGGCCGTCCAAGTAGGGCAGGGGATCCTACCATTCTTGAGTGGATTGATGAGGTTGATATATATTGTCAACAATGCCATATCCCTGACAAAGATAAAGCGCAGGTTGTCTATAATCACTTAGGGGGGTTGGCCCGGGATGAGGTTAAGTGTAACCCGTCAGTGAAAGGCGATTATAAGGCCTTGATAAGGCTACTTAACAGGCAGTTTGGGGCAGACGAAACTGTACAGTCGTTGCAGAAGTCTCTATATGAGCGTCATCAACTGGAAGATGAGTCCCTCATGGACTATTCACGGTCTCTCATTAGGCTTTATGATCGTATAATCGAGGCTGGGAGTGAGGGAGAAAAAGAAGGATTGAAGGGACTTAAGGATAAAGTCCTCATTAATCAGTTTGTAGCTGGGGCCAAGAACCAAAGCATGCGCTTAGAGCTACGACGTCTTGAGTTGGCCACACCAGGGCAAAGTTTCAGTGCGCTGCGAGATGCTGCTTTAGACCTATTCAGGGATATCGATAGGCCAAAGGTCAAACGAAGCCAGGTACGCCAAGTGGGCGTGGCACCGTTTGATGATCCTGATGAGGAAAATCAGGGGGGTTTAAATTGTGCTAATGATGTAGTTGAGGTATCAGTGGAGGGCGTGGCCGTTCGTACTCCTAGTGGGGGGCAGTTTCAAAAAGTGATGCAACAGCAAACAGAAATGATGAAGTGCATTAGGGATCAACAGGAACAGATTCTAAAACAACAAGAACAGCTCACAACCTTGATGGAACATGTGATCAAAGGGTCAGATCCAAAACCATTTAATGTTGGTCAAGGGGGACGGCGCGTGGTGTGTTTCAGATGCAAGCGCCCTGGGCATATCAAGGCTAATTGTAGATTCGGTGGTAGTGGCCAAAGTTTGACAGCTAGCAGTAAGTCCTCTGGGGGACAGGGGCAGTCGGATGGTGTGGGGTCACCATGTGATAAATCCACGGTTAGTGGTGAGTTAAACACAAGTCCTCCATCACTGTAGGCCAAGTGATGGAGGGAGTCTCTGAAATGGCCTCACCTGGGGACAATGTGCATTGTGAAAGGGGGGAATTGTCTGAGCATTCGGTAAATGAACTTCTTACTCGCCTGGTACATAAAAGCCCTTCAGTTAATGTGACTTTGGCTGGAGTTCCGGTAACTTGTATACTAGATACAGGAGCTGAAACCTCCCTTATGAGCTCATCTTTTTTTAGCAAACATTTGTCGGATAAGATGAGTGGGCCCGAACCAGTGGGCCGGTACCTGCGGGTATATGGGGTAGGTCACTTAGAGCTGCCTGTGGAGGGATATGTGGAGGTCCCAATGGTGGTGCATAACCACACAGTGATGGCACATTTCCTAGTTGTGAGAGACCCATCACAGTGTGGGGTGGGGGGCCGGAAGAGCCCGGTACTAATCGGTTGTAATGTACTAGAACTGTTGAAGGGCATAGCGATTGACTCAAAAGTGCAAGATGCAGAAGCTTTGAGTGTTGCTCTGCAGTGGTACCGTCTCGCAAGAGAACCACATGATCAAGATCGACATAAATTTAATAAGGGATCAAAGAATCCGGTGTCTGTGCGCACTCGTGGGCAACCAATGACTGTCCCTCCCAGGCAGGTGCAAACCATTAAATGCCAGATTAGAGCCCCAGTTGAGGATTTCAGAGACAAAATGATTCTTGTGGATAGTCATTTGACAGAGAGTGGAGAAATAAATGAGGGGAGCGAAGGAACAACAAACGTTTCCCCAACCCTTAGGGTATACAATTCTTGTGGGATTACTGATGGTCGCTTTGTAAATATTCTAGTTGCTAATCTTGGGACCCAGGCATTGGTTATTCCTCCCCACACAAAGTTGGCACAAGCTACTGTGGTATCCTCTGAACAAATTGGGCTGGAGGAAGAGATAAGTGCATTACAGGTATCTGTGCATGAAGTTTTGGTTGAAGACGTAGGTAGTGACCATGTTGAGGTTGGGCCCACGCCCAAGTCTGATGTGTCAGTGGACACATCAGAACCTTCCTCACAAGAGACTTTTGTGTTTAGGGATGGAACCCAATACCAGTTACCCCCAGGATTAACCTTTGCTTCTTGTAGTTTGGATGAAAATCAGAAAGAGCAGTTGGTGCGGCTAGTGCAGAAACATGACACAAAATTCTCTAAACACCAGTATGATGTAGGCTGTTGTGATACGATACCTCATGTAATTCGTACTGTAGACAACATACCCATTGGCCAGCCTTACCGTAGGATTCCACCCAGGGATTTGCAGGAAGTGAGGGAACTCCTGCAACGACTACTAGATCAGGGCATCATAAAGCGCAGTGCGAGCCCATATGCGAGCCCGATTGTACTTGTTCGAAAAAAGATGGGAGCCTGCGATTATGCATTGATTACAGGCGCTTAAATGCAAAAACGGTGCGCGATTCGTTCCCCCTCCCCCGCATAGAAGAGTCCCTGGAGGCACTCCAAGGTGCGAAGTATTTCTCCTCCATGGATTTGGCTCATGGCTACCACCAGGTAGTTATGGATCCCAAGTCCGTGGAGGAGACTGCATTCAGGGTACCTTTCGGACTGTTCGAGTTTACCCGTATGCCATTCGGGCTAGTCAATGCCCCTGGAACGTTCCAACGAGTGATGGAGATGTGTCTTGGGGACATGAACTTGTCAGAGCTCCTCATTTACTTGGATCATATACTTGTGTACTCGTCCACTTTTGAAGAGCACCTTCAAAGGTTGGACAAGGTGTTCACACGCATTGGGGAGTTTGGGTTGAAAATAAAGGGCAAGAAATGTCAGTTTCTCCAGGATCATGTTTCATTTTTGGGCCATGTGGTAAACAGCCAGGGAATATTGGTGGACAATGACAAAATCCAAAAGATTAGGGACTGGCCTGTGCCACAGAATGCAGAGCAGCTGCGATCCTTTTTGGGGCTTGCAGGGTACTATAGGAGATTCGTCCTAAACTTCTCCCGTTTGGCAGCACCGCTACATGCAATAATACCTCCAGTTCAGTGTAAAGGGAAAGTGCGGAAAAGTGTCCGAAAGTTTGAGTGGAGCACTGAAGCACAGGGAGCCTTTGACTCGCTCAAGTTGGCCCTCACTCAGGCCCCAGTGCTTGCATATCCAGATTTCTCACGTGCATTTGTTCTCGAAGTTGATGCTTCTCTACAGGGTTTGGGTGCATGTTTGGCACAAGACGATTTAGAAGGAAAAAGACACCCTGTTGCATATGCCAGCCGTGGTCTGAGGGGGGCGGAGGCTAATTACCCAGACTATAGCTCATTCAAATTAGAATTACTGGCTCTAAAGTGGGCTGTCGTGGGTAAGTTTAGGGACCATCTCTTGGGGGTGCCCTTTACCATACTCACAGACAATAATCCACTCGCACATCTGCAAACCGCCAAGTTAGGGGCAAGTGAATTGCGCTGGGTGGCGCAATTAGCTGCATTCAATTTCGATGTGAAGTTTCGCTCGGGTCGTAGTAACCGGTGCGCGGACGCGCTTAGTCGCTATCCTAGTCAGAGCACTGCAGAGGTAGAGACAATCATGCAGAGCAAGGTCCACTCTTGTGCAGTTCCAATCCATGTTGCTGCAAATGCAGCCACTGTTACGCAGTCTGGTGGAGACGCTCCTCCAGGAACTGCTGGTCCCCCAGGGTTGTTTCCGTCGTGGTCATCGGAACAAATGGCATCCCTCCAAAGGGATGACCCAGAGCTGGGGTTGGTGTGGGAACTGTGGGACAAAAGGTGGACCCCGGGAGAGGTAATGCCTTGTGAGTTTACTACTTCACCAGAGTTGAAACTGTGGCTTGGACAGTGGCCTAGGTTTGTTGAAAGGAATGGTGTTCTGTGCCGGAGGGTGATGGACCCTGTACTTGGGGAGATTTTCCAAATTCTCCTACCCAAATGTCTGCAGCTTAGGATAATGAAAGGTTGTCATGATGGCTGGGGTCACCAAGGGGTGACCCGTACCTGCTCTTTACTGAGGAGGAGAGTGTACTGGCCTCGAATGACGGCGGATGTCCGTCGTCATGTAAACCGCTGCAAACTGTGTATAATTGCTAAGGCTTCACAGCCACAACCTAGAGTCCCAATGAGGCATCTAATGGCATTCCGACCACTCGAAATATTGGCGGTGGATTTTGTCAAAGTGGACAGGGGCCGTGGGGGTTACGAAGACATCCTCATCATGACGGATGTTTATACCAAGTTTTCACAGGCTGCACCCTGTAGGGACCAGTTGGCTGTTACTGTAGCGAAAGTCCTTAGGGACCAGTGGTTCACCAAATTTGGGATACCCAGTAGACTTCACAGCGATCAGGGACGCAATTTTGAGGGAGAAATCGTGAGGGAATTATGTTCATTGTACGGGATTAGAAAATCCCGTACCA